TCAAGCGTAGGCAGTTTTACGCGCCTTCATCAGTACTTATTGATGCCGGTTTTCAGTATAATCCCTGCTCTATCCGATCGATGCTCTATGCGTTGCCGAGCCGCTGCCTATCGGCTCGTCAGGCATGCATTAGTCGACTCAGATTCAGCAGAGGAGCTGCATAAACAACCTCTAGAGTGGTTTATTGTGAAGTATTGTATTATTTTGCCCTACTCGACAGGAATCTCACATTTATTCTAATAGATCTTTAGCACGAGATAACAAACATGCCATAGAAAGGGAACAAGTCATCAAGCTCATTCGTACTATCGTTGACATCGTTTCCGAACCTCGAGATCGACGCGGCGTTAACGGAACAAAGACGATTCCTCTTTCGGAACCTATTATGCGAGCATTTGTAGCAGTTGCTGAGCATGCTGAAGATCCGTTTCGTCCCATTTGCGTACAAACCCTCGCTGAAATGAGTGCGTGAATATGTTTTATTGTGATCTTTTCTGCATCTGATCAAAACATCGAAGTTCTCATCGACATTGACCTCGTGGCGCGATCTGGAGGCATTCGATTCCTTTTGCATGCCCTAGGTGAAGGTCCAGTCGAAGCCGGGCCCATACTGGCAGCCACATTCTTGCACATCATCGACTCCCCTCGAACTCGCGCATACCTGCATCTTGGAACTGACTTGGAGGTGGGCAGGCAGTTCTTCTCAGCTTCTCAGGGTTCATGATTTTACTTTATATACCAGATTGCTCTCTCTGCGATCACAGATGCTTATGGCAAGGGTGCAGATCACGCGGATCGTATGCGGAGCTGTACCAAGATCATACAACTGATGCTACGGACTTGGAGCGGTAGGCATCTTGTGACCTGTTCTCCGTCCAAGTATGAAATGATTTATAGGGTTGATGTATTTTTGTCTGGGGGATCAACACGCAATCAAGTCCATCGTCAATACCCTACGAATACCGTCTCTCGAAACAAGAGTGTGTTGCTTGAGTCTGTATTGGAAGACAAGAACTCACATCGATTCAAGGAAATAGTACTCGACATGTTCTTCGATTTATTCAATATCAAGGCTCCGCAATGGTATAAAACGTTTATAGACGGTCGAAGGCTCACAAGTAGGTCATCTAATCATCACGGGTTGTTGGTGACTCAAGGTCGAGTTCAGTGTACCGGAAACCCCGGGCTTTTGCGGATCAGCTCGCAGATCAGAAACTTCCAGAGAAGGCTCCCGAAACGCTAAAACTTACTGATCAATACATTGCCCTTCTCGTCCTCGTATTCGCGGATGCTGGTCTGATCGATGTAAGCATATACCCATTGTGCACCTCTTATTAACTTGACAGCCAATAGGCGCTCACGGCAATGCTTGAAGAATGCACCACTGGCTCTAACTTGTCACGTAAGGCAACCCTGCTCATGGCCGAGGTTATGCATATGGCAAATAGAGTACTTCCCCTGGGTGTCGCTGCCAAGATACAGGTGTGGTCTGAATCCAATTATCTTTTTTGGAATCTGAATCCGTTTTAGGCTGTCCCTCGTGTATTTAATCTGGCAGCAGATTATAACCGAGGAGAGCACAGGATAGTCGGAACATCTGCTCTCTCTGCAATCGATAGCTTCAATCGCAACCGTTTGAGACTACAACCTAGCGTTAGAAATGCACGCCCAAGGTGAGCATTTGCGAATGGCCAGAATAAATATGTTTACTTGGTATCATAGGGCGAATTCCGCTGAAGACGCAGTCCGAAGAGGACAGAGACAAGTTGAGCAAGTCAAAATAAAAATGGGGATGCAGATGGACGATAAGACGTTCCAGTCGTCGTTGCTCGAGACTCAGGTGCGTTTACTTTCGCGTCCATACTGTGGGTAATGTTGACTTTGCTCCAGGTTATGTTGACAAAAGATAGTGCGAAATGGAACTTTGAGATGCTTCAAGAGTTGATCGAGGGGCCACTATTGAATCCCAAGCGATTGGAGGAAGCTATCAAAGTAGCAAGATTCATGCGACGACTACTGTCTTTTTTCCATCCGTTCACCCATCGATTTTCTGACCTTCCAAAGAAACAGGTATTTTACTGTCTTGTTCCAGATGCTCTATGTTGATCTTAAATTGCAAGCCCAATGTTCGCTGGGTGCGCTTGGGATGCTCTCTTCTCACCACGTTGTTGGCTAGTCCAGACGGGATCCGGTTCCTTGCCTCGGAAGATGATTTGTTGAAGCAAATAGTGAAATGTTTTGCTCAGTTGGACCCTGTATGCTTTTATCGAGTCGATCCCATGATTTTATTGATGCCAGCATATCTTGCAGTTTAACGGCACATCAGAATCCGACCCTATGTTTTCCAAGTACAGGCTATCGGAGACGTTGACTTATGGCTACTTCGAGATGCTCGGAACTTTAAGCAAGCACGCAGAAGGCATCGAGTGAGCCATTCGCAACCCCTTATAGGTCTTACTGATGGAGATGGATGTCCCCAGGCTAATGGAAAAGTTCAAATTTTTTACTGCTTTCTATCACCTTAGCGAGCTGCGCGATCGTGAAGACTTGATCACCGCTGTGATTACGAATTTGGATTATACGATGTGAGCGCTCGGTTGTGTTGATAGAAGCTGTCATTTATTGGATATCAAGTGATGGACATCCCCGTATCGTGCTCTCGAAAGCTCTTACATCGAGCGACGTCGTGAGTCATGCCACGTTCAATGCACTGTTCATTTTCTTTATATACTTTCCACAGCGCACACGCCTATATGCGACGAACCACCTCGGAGATCTCATACGAGACTCAATCACACCAGTCGCATGGACACTTCGTCTTCTTTTGACTCAAATATATGATCAAGCGCCAGAAGTTTGTGAATTGGCAATCCAATTCCTTGAAGATGCCTGCGATGCTATGGAAGTACTGCAACTTGTTGTAGAAATGCAACCAACGATGGACCATCTCGGAGAAATTGGACATCCACTACTGCTCAAGTCTGTTCGCTACCTTTAGCTTATGTGTAGAGCTGACTTGAAACTAGATTCATGTCAACTCCGATGGGCTTCCGTTACTTGTACAGCGCAGGTTACATCGACAGGGAGATGGACATGTGGTTTCATGTCTGTGTTTTCCCTGACTTATAAAACTTCTCTGACCGTCACCTATCCAGGACCGTAACATCTACTACGTCGTAGAGGTGGAAATTTTCCTGTCTAAGGTCTTCAGCTCAGAGGCCGCAGAAGATGACGAAGATGTCTTGTATGTATCACTCTCCGATGCAGCCGCAGTGTGACTAAATTGACCTCAGGGCCTTCGACGGGGTCGTCCCACCCCACTTCTACGGGGAAATGTCGAAAACTGAACTTGGCTGTCAAGTTCTTAGTGAAAAGGGCCATTTCTCTGAGTTCTCTCATTTCATAAAACAGCACGGTCTTGAGAGCGAGGATCTTGAGTTGATTCTCAAACTAAAGAGCATCCTGTGGGCAGTGGTGCGTTGTCTTCGCTGGTGGGCGTTCAAATAAAATTATTGATAGTACCGTAGGGGAATGTCGGGGCCACCGAGGGCGGCCTCCCGTTTCTGGAAGAGGAAGAAATAATTCCTGCTATATTAGAGATTGCTGGACACTCTCTTATTCCCTCGGTGCGAGGGTAAGTACTTCGCTAAGTGCTTGACTCTTTGCATTGAACACAATTCTAGGACGTGTTTCTTCGTTCTTGGATTGATCTCCTCAACATCACAAGGAGCTGAAATCCTAGACGATTATCGATGGGAGGCAACCTTGTCGCCACTTGGGGTGCCGACCGGGTTGTGCATACCTCTGGATCTGGATAAATTTATCTCAGTGAAGTACTAGAGTTATCTATACCGTACTGTGTATCTGATGCTTTCCAGTTACCTGCATGGGATCCCGTCGGGATAAAGAGGGACGGCGATTCTCGGCTCATACCGCCAACATCCCACACGGATTTGGAGGTAATCTCTGCAATAGAGAACCTGAGCAACACCGTGATTGCGAACGCTGCCTCAAGATCACTTGCCAGGTAAACTATATTAAGGGTTCTACGCTTTTCCACAATTTCTCAACAACCATCCCAGGATGAAGTCTCGACCTGAATACCGATCAGCATTCTCATCACCCTCTGTGTTTTTCCGTGCTCTGCACGCCATTTCGACGCAACGGTACCGTTTACCAGTAAGGAGATATATATTTGATCTCTTTACCGCCGAATTGGACGGTGAACTGGCCCTGGAGCTATCCGTATGCGCTAATTCCCTTCGCGCACCACCAACGTTCAAACAATCCGAAGCACACATCAATCGAGTAGTGAGCATGTTTGGGTTGAAGCATACCAGAGGAGCCTCCGAGAGCGATGATGAAGATGATGATATGGATGATACTGTCGACGAAATGGTGAATGACAGAAATCCTGTGATGATCACGCTCCGTCCAGTGAGCAGGATCATTGGCTTTGACAAGTGATTTGATTTGTAGCGGGCATTATTGATGATATTTGACTTCATATCCTGGACATTGCACTTTTGACTGTTGCGCTTGTATCATATATACCACCATTCCCATCGAACCATCCTCCAGCATAAAACTTGGCAATAAAAAACCTGTTCCAGTAGAGTCTGACGCGAAATAAGTGCTTGGCTATAGTGAGTCGACAGTCGAGACCTAAAATGCTAATCAAATATGTACGGTCATTGTCCAACTGCATCACCTGGCATGTCAGTGGCGTTTTTGCTATCCAAGTTTAACGTTGAACGTTCGCGAGTACTGATGCTGCATCCTTCTTTGCTTTCGTGCAAGTGCCAAGTTGTCAGCGCCGAAATAATAAACCGCTGTGTTTTGTTCGCTCCATCACTAAATTAACGTGTTCTCGGTCTTCCAAGTCACATCAGGGTTTGAACGTCAAACTTACCCGTGTTCATGTCATTTTTTTATAAATTTGCAGACTCATCGATGGTTTTATAGTACCAGCTTCCATATATAGTTCCCACGGCTACAATATCAAATTCATTGATGTGCAAGCGGCTCTAGCCAAGCTAGCTTGATGCAGCAATGCTGCCGAGTCTCGACTGGCGGTGACTGCGAGATATCTCACACTAGCCGTGTTTAGGATACCGTAACGGACTTCCTGACGGGGATTGCATGAATGTCGCGCAATAGTGCTTGACAGGGCCATTTGACCTCGTTTGGTAAAGTCTATCGTACGAGGTGAGCAAGTATTAAAGGAATACTCACAGTCTTGAGAACACCCATTTCTTACATGATTGACCTCCAGAGAAGAGTCGCCATTATCGGCGCAGGGTAAGTAACGCTTTTGATTTGATTCTACGTCAACTGAATATCCGCTCGAAGTGTTGGCGGGTTGTCCCAAGCTATTGCTCTCAAAACTAAGCTCGGATTTCACGATTTTACAGTGGGTGCATCCATCAAACAAGTGGTATGATCGCTGAGTATTTCAATAGATATTTGAGAAAGGGTCTGAAGTTGGTGGGGCGTGGAGGGTATGTTGTTGTGATGCGCGACATGTTCTCCTGACAATTTTTCGCACAGGCCAACACATATCCTGTAGGGTCAACGACTGAAACTGCAGAATATCGCTCACCTCCAGATCTCTTCTAGGGATGCTCGTCGGATGTCCAGATTCATTGGTACAGCTTATCATCAGACCTTTACCCATACTGGAACAAGTCGCATGGCCTTCAACCGGAGATTCAAGCCTACTGGATCGACCTCTCGAAGAAATACAATCTATATCCACACATCGCGTTCAACACAAAAGTGTTATCTGCCGAGTGGGATGATGTCAAACAACAATACATCATCGTCGCAGAAGATGTTTTTTCAGGCAAGAGAATATCGAGCGTGGCCCATGTCGTGATATCTGCCGTTGGTATCTTGGATGCCCCAAGGATTCCATACGAGATCCCTGGAGTTCGGAGGTTTCAAGGGGTTTCGTTTCATTCCGCACAGTGGCCAGGCTCGATAGATCTGCGGAATAAGCGCGTTGCAGTGATTGGAAATGCATCCTCCGGGTGAGTCACGACGACTTCTGCGCAGGTAATCGGTGGTGACATGACATACAACAAGAGCACAGTTCGTGCCATCTGTATCTGAAGACCCGTCTGTCGAAGTAGTCAACTTCATTCGCACCCCGAGCTGGTTCACCACTCGAGTGAGATTATTTATACCATGTTCGATGATTTCAACAACTAAACTAAACATCCAAGCCACATATTCCGTACTCGGACACCGAGAAATGGGTATTTGCCAACATCCCTCTGGCAATGCGGCTGCACCGAGCTTGGATCGTGTTCTGGGTCAGACCAAACGTTGCAGAGTTTTGGCTTGCTGACGCTAGTTGTAGTTCGAATTGCCTTTAGTCATACGCCCGAGTGACAAAACTCTCAAGAAACGATGCGAGGTGAGCAGGCTGCCAAAGGCCTGTGGCATTTGTTCTAACGTTTTCTGCTAGGCGATGACGAAATACATCCTCGATAACGCACCGAGTAGATACCATGATCGTATGATACCCGATCATCGTACGTGTTTGATCAAGGAACTTTTTTTGTGCTGACGTGCTCCACAGCTCCAGGCTGCAAGCGGACCGGTTCGTCGGCGATGGTTGAGCTTAGAATGTGTTCTTTCTCATTTCATTCCATGCAGTCGCAAACAGCGGCTTCCTGGATGTTCTCCATCGGCCTAACTTGACACTGAACTTCGACGGAATTGACAACATAGCGGAGAATGGCATCGTCACGAAAACTGGTATGCATGGGCCGTCAACGACGTCACCACCCTCCTCACATTAGTTCAGGTGAAATGTTGCCATTCGATGTCATCGTATACGCGACCGGGTTCATCAGCGTAAGTGCCATTTACACAGACCTAATAATCTATCAGATACCAACTGCAGACACAGGACCAATACCCAATGCACGTTCGAGGCTCGAACGGGGCTACCATCCAAGGGTATTATGATGCTCATGGTGGCCCTACCGCATACCTCGGGACTTCGGTCCCTGACATACCGAACTTTTACTTGCTAGCCGGTGAGCTCACGAGGGACATGTTATCATCAATTTGTTGTCTGACGTATTGACGACAGGACCAAATACTGGAATACCAGCATCAACATTGTTCATGGAAGAAGTCCAAGTAAATCCAGTGAACTTTTTGTATGTTTTTACTCAAGTTTATCACAAGGTTGGATATATCCATCAACTCATAGAGCCGGTCCTCAGCGGTTCCGCTTCATCTTTCACCGTCAAAGTTTCACACGCAGATGAATATAATGCTAAGGTTCAAGAACGTATATCCCGCTCTGTGTTCATGCAATGCCATTCCTGGGCGCGTATGAACGGCACGGGAAAGGTATTTAATCCATTCCCTTGGGCTATGACGCATTGGTGGTGGTTGCTTCGCAAACCAAATTGGGATCATTATGTGGCAGTCGGCGCCGAGAAATGGGTATGGGCAAGGCGAAGAAAGTTTGTCAAGAATAGTCTGAAATGCGCTGCAATCTTGGCGTTATTGTGCTCATATATCGGCAGCTCTGTTCAGACGACATGGTGGTGAGTCTACTGTTCTTGATGCCTATCATTCGAACAATTGATATCTTTAGGCAGCGACTATCTGTGGCTTGCGACTACTTGAGCAAGTTTAGCCTGCGTCTTTAAGCGTCATGCATGTATGTACGAGACAGATCATAATTATACAAAGTAGCAACTAGACAGCTTGCATACTTTTCCCTCATGAGCAAGATTGACAATCGGAAACGATGCGACGACAACCTGTCAGACCTTTTTTTCAGTATGTTCGTCGACCATCATGAGGATGGTCCATTGTTCGATAGCTACAACCTTTGTGGATCTGCAGTGGTCGTCTTCAATGCGTAGTCACAGGTGAGATTCGCATCCTGATAGCTCTCACCTCTTGAAAATGTCCCGACCATCTGCCGGAGTGCGATAGCAAGTGTTGTCATTTCAAGGATTGCCCATCAACGACTGAAGTATCTCGCAGTATAAATTGACATATTCGGTCGAAGCAAAATTATATCTATATAGCTGACAGCCTTAACTACAATATCAGTTTGCACATACGCATTGAATAGTACGACTACTGCGGGTCCACAAAGGATATAGCTATCATACTAGCTATAATACAATGGACTATACTCAGTGATTGGCGAACATGCTGAAAAAAGGTCTAACAGGTTGTCTGATTGTCAATCTTGCTCATGAGGAAAAAGGACGCAAATTCTATTTTGTATAATCATGGTCTGTCTTTCGTATATATATATGGCACTCAAAGACGCAGGCTAAACTTGCTCAAGTAGTCGCAAGCCACAGATAGTCGCTCCCTAAATATATCGATTGTTCAATTGATGGGCATCGAGAACAATGATGGACTCACCACCATGTCGTCTGAGCAGAGCCGCTGATATATGGCCACAATAGCGTCAAGACTGCAGTGCATTTCAGACTATTCTTAACAACCTTTCTTCGCCTTGCCCATACCCATTCCTCGGCGCCGACTGCCACATAATGATCCCAATGTGGTTTACGAAGCCACCACCACCAAAGCGTCACAGCCCAAGGGAGCGGATTATATACCTTTCCCGTGCCATTCATACGCGTCCAGGAGTAGCATTGCACGAACACAGAGCGGGATATACGTTCTTGAACCTTGGCATTATATGCATCTGTGGGTGAAGCTTTGACAGTGAAAGATGAAACAGAACCACTGAGGACCGGCTCTATGAGTTGAAGGATATATCCAATCTTGTGACAAACTTCAGTAGAAACACACAAAAGGTACGCTAAATTTACTTGAACTTCTTCCACGAACAACGTTGATGTTGGCGTGACGGTGTTTGGTCCTGGATTTAATACATCAGAGAAAATTGATGATAGCATGTCCCTTGTGGGCTCACCAGCTAGCAAATAGAAGTTTGGTATGTCAGGGACTGAAGTCCCGAGGTATGCGGTAGGGCCACCGTGAGCATCATAATACCCTTGGATAGTAGCTCCGTTCGAGCCTCGAACGTGCATTGGGTATCGGTCCTGTTTCTGCGGTTGGTATCTGATAGATTATTAGGTCTGTGTAAATAGCACTTACGCTGATGAACCCGGTCGCGTATACGATGACATCGAATGGCAACATTTCACCTGAACTAATGTGAGGAGGGTGGTGATGTCGTTGACGGCCCGTGCATACCAGTTTTCGTGACGATGCCATCCTCCGCTATGTTGTCAATTCCGTCGAAGTTCAGTGTCAAGTTAGGCCGATGGAGAACATCCAGGAAACCGCTGTTTGCGACTGCATGGAATGAAATGAGAAAGAACACATTCTAAGTTCAACCACCGCCGACGAACCGGTCCGCTTGCAGCCTGGAGCTGTGGAGGACGTGAGCACAAAAAAGGTTCCTTGATCAGACACGTACTTACGATAATCGGGTATCATATGAGCATGGTACCTACTCGGTGCGTTATCAAGGATGTATTTCGTCATCGCCTAGCAGGAGATGTTAGAACGAATGCCCCGAGACTTTCGGAGTCTGCTCACCTCGCGTCGTTTCTTGAGAGTTTTGTCACTCGGGCGTACGAGAGAGGGAAAATCAAACTACAACTAATGTCAGCAAGCTAAAACCCTGCAACGTTTGGTCTGACCCAGAACATGATCCAAGCTCGGTGCAGCCGCATTGCCAGAGGGATGTTGGCAAAAATCCATTTCTCGGTGTCCGAGTACGGAATATGTGGCTTGAATATTTATTTAGTTGTTAATATTATCGAACATGGTACAATGAATCTCACTCGACTGTTGAACCAGGTCGGGGTGCGGATGAAGTTGACTACTTCGACAGACGGGTCTTCAGATACAGATGGCACGAACTGTGCTCTTGTTGTATGTCATGTCACCACCGATTACCTGCGCAGAAGTCGTCGTGACTCACCCGGAGGATGCATTTCCAATCACTGCAACGCGCTTATTCCGCAGATCTATCGAGCCTGGCCACTGTGCGGAATGAAACGAAACCCCTTGAAACTTCCGAACTCCAGGGATCTCGTATGGAATCCTTGGGGCATCCAAGATACCAACGGCAGATATCACGACATGGGCCACGCTCGATATTCTCTTGCCTGAAAAGACATCTTCTGCGACGATGATGTATTGTTGTTTGACATCATCCCACTCGGCAGATATCACTTTTGTGTTGAACGCGATGTGTGGATATAGATTGTATTTCTTCGAGAGGTCAATCCAGTAGGCTTGAATCTCCGGTTGAAGGCCATGCGACTTGTTCCAGTATGGGTAAAGGTCTGATGATAAGCTGTACCAATGAATCTGGACATCCGACGAGCATCCCTAGAAGAGATCTGGAGGTGAGCGATATTCCGCAGTTTCAGTCGTTGACCCTACAGGATATGTGTTGGCCTGTGTGAAAAATTGTCAGGAGAACATGTCGCGCATCACAACAACATACCCTCCACACCCCACCAACTTCAGACCCTTTCTCATATATCTGTTGAAATACTCAGTGATCATACCACTTGTTTGATGGATGCACCCACTGTAAAATCGTGAAATCCGAGCTTAGTTTTGAGAGCAATAGCTTGGGACAACCCGCCAACACTTCGAGCGGATATTCAGTTGGCGTAGAATCAAATCAAAAGTGTTACTTACCCCGCGCCGATAATGGCGACTCTTCTCTGGAGGTCAATCATGTAAGAAATGGGTGTTCTCAAGACTGTGAGTATTCCTTTAATACTTGCTCACCTAGCACGACAGACTTTATCGAACGAGGTCATATGGCCATGTCAAGCTCTATCGCGCGACATTGATCCAATCCCCGGGCCAGAAAGCCCGTATCCTAAATACGACTGTGAGATACGCCGCCAGTCGAGACTCGGCAACATCAAGTTGGCTTGGCAATTGACGGGCAATTGCAAAATGGAGTATCTATCCCAGGTCTGTCCTGACTCGGATGCATCTTAGCGCCACATTTACTAAAAGCAGCACTTGAGCGCTCAGCGCTCGGCTTCGGCTTCGTCAGGGGGAAATATGGCAGGACAGGTAATTCTCATGGGTCACAAGTGCATGAGATGTTGTTGCGGTTGTTCCTATTTTTGTAGATAGTTTGTCATTTATACCACTTGACCTGGGTTGAGAGCGCGCGGATCCCTTGCTGTGACCAATTTTGGTGTCAGACTCTTACCCACCTCCTGGTTGCGGGATACCGTGACTGGGATTGCAATGGCGAAGACGAATGCAACGGGAACTGGCGGGGGCGGGCTCAATTTTCAAAATCTGAAGCAAAAGGGTTCCGCTAAATCGGGACGAACAAAACACGGCGATTATTATGCTGGCCCTAGCAGCTTACATGGAAGCAGAGCATTAATGCTCGCGTTGGAGTATGGTGAGAATGCCGCTGACGTGCTGGCGCAGTTGGACGATGGCTGTGCATATTTGATTAGCATTTTATGTCTCCACAACAAACACGGTCGACTTACTTTACTTATTTCCCGCAACACCATACAGCCATAGTTTTTTTTACTGCCAGGTTTCATCCTGTAGGGGACGGAAGTGGTATATATGACACAGTGGCATCAGTCAAAAGTGCAGTGTCCAGGGCATCATGAAGTCAAATACGAATATCATCAATAACGCTCGCTACAAATCACTTGTCGAAGTCAATCATCCTGCTCACAGGATTTCTGACATTCACTGTTTCATCAACACCGTCATCCATATCATCATCATCTTCGTTATCACTCTCGGAGGCTCCTCTGGCATGCTTCAACCCAAACATGCTCAGTACTCGATTGATATGTGCTTTGGATTGCTTGAACGTCGGCGGTGCGCAAAGAGAGTTAACGCATACTGAGAACTCCAGGACCAGTTCACCGGTAGTGAATAGATCGAATAAAGATCTCTTTCACTGGTAAACGGTACCATATCTATTGCGTTGAAATGGTGTACAGAGCAAAATTTTATGTAAAACTTGTGTAAAACATAATAATACGTGTGACGATCGGCGTTAGCCGCAGACGATGCTTCCTACCCCCACTCGGGAGAGGTGGGTTTGTTGCATCCGTCATGCATCACGATTGTCTCCAGCAAAGGTTTTCAAGACTCATCGAACTGTTGTATTTTCGTCTTCAGAAGCTTCGAGTTGCAAATTGTTTTGCCAAAGAAAGAAGCTTGAACCCCCCGGGGCAGTGAGCACCTCTTTCTGGGATGCTGACCCTTAGAAAGGCTCACTGAGCCTATGGCTCGGCGGACCCGGGGCTTTGCGGTGACCTTCTGATCGAGCGATGTTAAAGCGTTCGCTGGTGGCTATCTGGCCCAAGGGTTGACATTAAGTAATTCCTTATCAACTCAGCATGTCGGCCCTATTATGTCGCCTCGTCCGGTAGCTCTTATCGATTGCAATGCGGATGCTGTTCTTGTCCCATATCAAGGCGATTCGCTTGGTCTATCTTCGCACTCACGAGCATCTCGCTGGAGCCCTGACTCGCCTGGATGGTCACTTCTTCTGGTTCTCCTCGTATAGCAAACGGCGAGACCATCGTGATGCCTCTTGTTCGTGCAACAGTTCCGAGAAAGCCTAAAACTCCTCTTCCACAACTCCAGACAGGCTTACTTCTGATGTTGGAAATTGCGGAAATTGCAGCTTCAATGTCCATATACCCGTATATCAATCAGGTATGAACTTTTACAATGGGATGTCATTTTGCTGCAACATCCGTGGTCGATACTGTGACTAAAGCTGTTTTCAGCTTATCACAGAAATTGGGATCACTAGAGGTGACGATGCGGCTGTAGGATACTATGTCGGATTAATTGTAGGTGGCAATATCATGACTTGCAAAAAATATCATTCCCTCATAGTATCATCGGACATGAATATCAGGATTCTCTGTTTTACCTCGCCCAGGCACTGACAGTATTGGGCTGGAGTCGGTTGTCCGACCACATTGGACGCAAGCCAGTGTTATTAATCGGGCTAACAGGAGCTTGCATTTCGATGATATGTTTCGGCTTTTCGACAGCCTTCTGGAGCCTAGTCATGAGGTTTGCTTCAGTTGAAGGAGATATTGCAATGCTGATGTGATCTCCCCAGTCGCTGCATGTGGGGAGTATTGAATGGCAACATTGGAGTCATGAGGATTGTGATGGGTGAATTGACGGACTCTACGAATATGGCTCAGGGATTTGCCTTGCTTCCGATGGCGTGGTCAATTGGATGTTTCGCTGGGTAAGCGGAATCGTTTGACTATTGCGATGGATGCTGATTAATTGGCACGCCAGCCCTTTGATGGGGGGAATGCTGGCGCGGCCACAGGATCACTGGCCTAAATTATTTATCAATCCATTTTGGGGAACATACCCGTACTTTCTTGCTTGTGCATTATCTGCTTCTCTGCTCCTCTTGGCCTTTTTCATGTTGTTATACTTCTTGGAAGAAGTAAGTCCTAAATAATACATTCCTGAACGCCACGTTATTCACGTTTAGCAGACATTATCAAGCAAACGCCGACCAAGGTCGACAATAGCCACGCCCAGTGTTTCTCGCGGTATCAATGATCAGGAAGCGTTTGTGCAACAATCTACGACAGATACGCTCTTGTGGTCTCTGCTCACACCTACCATTGTTATTCCGATCGCAAGCTACGCTATGTTGTCCTTTCTTGACGTGTCTTTCAGGGCTCTCATGCCGCTGTTCCTTTCCACGCCCACCCACCTTGGCGGCATGGGTCTTACTCCTTCTTCCATTGGTTTGTGGCTGGCGTTCTCTGGGATCGTAGATGGACTCTTTCAGGCATTGTTCTTGGCTAAAATTGTTGATTGGGTTGGTCCCAAGCATCTATTCTGTGTATCAGTGTCGTGCTTCACACCGCTTATGGTCGCGTTTCCGATGATGTCGTGGCTGGTACACACAAGGGGGATGGTTGATCATGCAATTATGTATGCCTTGCTTGGCCAGCTGATTCTGACAGTGACATGGGATATGGCATTCGGTGCGTGTTACAATGAAACTTATTGTGCCATCACAGGTAACCAGCTTAGATACAGCTACTGCTTTGATGTTTGTCACAGCTTCTGCCCCTGCGAAGAATGTTCTTGGCGTCGTCAATGGTCTCTGCCAAACCTCTGCATCGATAGCTCGTGCCCTTGGGCCTGCCTTAACCACATCGCTCTTCGCATTCTCAAAGAAACACAATATTCTCAATGGAAATGCAGTATATGTTGTCTTGATCATACTGTCCGGTGTCCTAAGGTGGCTGGGTTCGCAGCTGCCAGATGAAGTACAAGACAGAGATGAATGAAAGGTCAGTACTTCTCGAGATTTTTCACCTGAAATGCATGAATAGTGAATACCCAGACACTTCAAAAGGCCTGTGGGTTCCCGTACAGAATTACGAAATGTACCATTCGAGTGTCTGCCGCCGAGCCCGTTGATTGATGTACTTGATACATGTATACTACTTAGTACTCTTGCCCATTCTAAAAGCATGGATCAGCTTAGATCCTCTACCTCGAGAAACGAACGGTTACACCGCCACCAAACCGGACTTTGCCGCGTCTCCCGAAAGTGGCTCGTCCGAGTTCGCCTCTCGATAGATTTCGACAATGTCTCTGCTCCGTTCTTATAAGCAGGCAATACCGAGACGGCTACTGCCTGCGTGTCCAACTTACACGCGCCATTTTTCTGCGGAAAGTCAAAGCCAGCCAGTTCGCACTGGTGATGCCCCCCAGAAAGAGACCACCCAAATTACGGAGGTTGCTCATACTGATGTATTGACGGCTGAAGTCATAAGTGGCGCTCCAGGTGTGTTTCAACTTACTGACTCTGAAAATGCCATGTTTAATGACCGTCAATTCAGTGGAGCTCCGGCATCGCATGGTACGGATCTATCAACCAGCCCGCAACACCATGCAAAGCGGAGCAGGAAAGTCAGAGCGGTGGCGCATTGACTGGGATGTTCTTCAGGGAGCAGGCCGGTGGGAGAATCCTCTGATGGGTTGGGCCAGTTCGTGAGTGGTCGCTCCCTTTCACCTGGGAAACGGCGTTTATCACTGTCTGTACAGCGCGGATTACATGCAGGGCACCAAGGTGTCATTCAGAAGCAAGGAAGATGCAATGCACTTCGCAGAGAAACAAGGTACGTTTGATCTTTACCTCAGAGTCCATTGCCCTCATTGTCTTTCCTTTAGGTTGGAATTACTACGTGTGAGTGCATCCCTCGCTTTTGACATGAACTGCACACTCATGAGCTGCTGCAGACAACCACCTCCCACCAAGAAAATCCCTCCGAAGAACTATTCAGAGAACTTTGTCTATAAGCCCAACACACTACGGATAATGCGCACGAAGTAGACCATTCTGTTCGTAGAACTAACTACTGCATCTGGTCCATAAGTTTTGCAATCGTTGGAACTTAATTTGCACCCGTGTTGCTCATTCTGGATAAGATCATATAACGTACTAAGCACTTTTGAAGCGCTTGCAAACTTAAACTTTTGGATAATTTGAATAAGTCACAACAACGCATGGATTAATACAACGTCGGAGCATGATGCCACGATACCGGCCAACTAGTCCATGGTGGCCTGAAGCCACACGGATAGGGTTCTTGACTCCGGATAGTTGTAGACGTCATTCGAGGAGCACAATTCTCCTTCGTCTCCATTTCTGTGGAGTACCACCTATACTAAGTATCGTCTTCGTCTGGACCAAGCTGACGTATTTTTACACCGACTGAATATTGTCACCATCATGGCCGACATTCAGACCAGGCTCTTTTCAAAGGATTATAGGTTCAGTTTATTTCCTCAGAATCTTCAGTGCATATGAAGTTAACATTTGCTACTGTCTCAGTGGCCTTGTTAATCAGTCGGTCATAACAATTGTAGTAGTCGTGATGTCTGTGACGTCGCACGAGATCCTAAAGAGAAGGAGACGCGGATTTCACATCCAGCCTGAGGGGCTTGGAAGCGTCGAGTCTTGGGAGTTTGGCTAGTGAGCACACTCATCATTTCCTCATTGTCTTATAACTGGCGTTCGAACTTCTAGCCTGTATCAAGGTCGTTCGTGGGCACGGTCTGTCGCTCGTAACTCCTGTTCTTTCTCATTCTGATAGCGGTAGCAGGAATCCTTCCCCGCCGACGCCGAAAGGCTGGCCATTATCTTGGGTCAAGGACAGCATCACTCTCCCCCAGGCGAAGCTTAATGAACTTAGAGGAGTCGATGCAACGTTGTATGTGCGTTTCCTGCGCGGGAGCCGTGAGTACTTGCAACATGCACTTGATTCGTATCCGCTGACTTTGCTGTCGTCCATAAGTATTCTTTGTCCTCGTCCATACGTTTACGACCACTCCCATCCTTCTTCCGATACATATCCACTTTTCCCCAGATGACGTTTCACTGCAGTCAATGACAAGAGCATCAATTTCTTCACTCGTAGAAAATCAGCAAGGTCGCTCCCTTCTCTGGATTCACATTTGCCTCCTCTTCTGGATCACGCTTACCTGGATGTGCAACCTCTTCTACATTTGCAATGGAGCATTCAGATTACGAGCAGCCAAAATAGAAAGTGCCATACGCAGTGTGGAGTCCGATACCATGACCGAGAGGGAACCACAATATCATCCCCATCCTCACCCACAGTACCCCTTCCAGGATATTCCATCCCTTGACACCGACCAGTCCAACCGTGGTTTACGTCTGCGTACCGTGATGGTGACCAACGTGCCGGTACAGCTTCGCTCAGAAAAGGAGCTCAAGGAGTACTTTGAGTATTACCTGTCGCGATCTCTCGACAAGCCTTCCCTTGGCTTCTCAGCATCAACTCAACCAGGTCTATTCAACAAATTGTTCGCTTTTGGTTTCAATCGAGCAAAGCGTATTCCGCAGAATATAGGTATGTCTACAGGCGAAACTGCCAATAGGAGTCAGGAAGGAAGCGACGGTGTCCCACTTGGACAAATTCCCGGTCCAAACCTGGGAAATGTGCCACCTATCGACAGAGTTGTCATTGCACGACGAATGACGGAACTGGCGTCATTGCTGGAACGGCGCGAGGAGATCCTCCGTCGTTTAGAGGGCGCGCACATCAGATTGGCAAAGAAGGCACTCTTAGCGGTGCACGGTGTAGAACATACACCCAGCTCAAGGGAGGACACCACCATACCCAGGCCTGCTAGGACTCCAGATGTAGAAAGCGGATGTAGTCAAGCCCACAACAGACAACAGAACAGTGATACAGACTTACTCGTTCAGACACTCTCACCGTTTCTGGTTGATTACCAGCTAACCAGCGACTCTGCGCCCTCAAAGCACAAACTCATTTTGAAAACGGAGGGTGCGTTTCACAGAAATCAGCGGCTACCACGAACTGACAGTGGCAAAGTGGATCCGGAGACGGATAACGTCGACCCACACAAGACGATATGGGATGCACTTCTCAGTTTACCGCGAAACATACTGGACCCATACCAGCCGTTGATCCACCTTTCTGTCTTTTTCCGTGGGAAGACCGTGCCGAGCATTGATTATTACACTGCCAAACTCCACCTCCTTACATCGTTGATAACGAAGGACCGAGCGCGGGCCGCTACGGAATACGACGCTGTATCAACAGCGTTTGTAACCTTCAAAGATCCAGCAGATGCAAGGAAGGCGTGCGAGTACTTAGCAGTGCATCCTAACAACCCACTTGCATGTCTTGTGACGATGGCCCCGCAGTATGAAGACATTGATTGGACAAGGGTTATGAGGTCAACTTACCAAGTGGATATTCTCAAAGATTGGGCAGTAAACATTGGGGTCTGGTGAGTGCTGGTCCGCTGTTGTATGACCACGAGGGGTAGTTGACCATGTCTCAGGGGATTCACGATATTCTGGGTTTTTCCGGTGTCCTTGTTTGTTGGTCTTGTCTCCATTCAAAGCATTTCGACGCTCTGGCCCAGTTTGGTATGTGTAATCCTTCTTCAGCATCTTCTGTGCTGAACATCCATGTAGTACAATTATCTATCCAGTCACCCTTGGGAGGAAGAGGTCATTCAATCATTCCTTCCAACTGTCCTTATCTCGCTACTCGCGATCCTCATTCCGCCCATTCTTCTACTCATTGCGAAGAAGGCCCACACGATCATCACTCTTTCCGTAATGCACGACACGATTATGACTCGTTACTATAAATTTTTAATTGTCAATGTCTTGGTGTTTTTCTGTGTTGGAACCGCTGCACTCCAGTCTTTCCTTTCGTTCAAGACCGTATCCGAGAGTGGGATAATAAATACTGTCGCTGGTAGTTTCCCGACAGCCGGACCTTTCTATGTTGGATGGTGTAAGTACAATTCTCTCGATGTCTTGCAGTGAATTCATGGTTCTACTTGCTTGCAGTGATCTTCACCACTGCAATTCATGGAGGCTTAGAGCTTGCGTTGTGTAAGCATCCATAACTTATGGTATTGCATCCCATTCTTACGTTGTGCTTTGCAGTTGGTGTAAGTTTCTGTGAAGTCGTAGTCGAGATCGTCATGATATTGACATCCCTCGCTGTAGTTGCCTTTGTTCGGTTATCCCTCCACCAAGCGACATGTAACTCCGAGGAAAAGAGCTGTTGGAATTCGCCCACGAACATTCAATTTCTATTGTGAGTTCCATCATTTTGTGCAGTGAAGTTTCTTACAGCGTTTCTGAATGCAGACTGGCTACCAAACCACCTCCTGGTCATTCACGTGTTACTCCTCTTCGCTCTACTTAACCCACTTGTCATACCCTTCGGGTTGTTGTATTTCTCAGTTGAGACTGGTTTGTTGTTTATACGATTCATGATAGAATCTATGCTGACCAAAACGTTTTCCAGCTGTTGTAAAAAATCAGGTATGTTACATCGTACCCTTCGTGAAGCCAGATCTGACTCAGATGGGCAGTTGCTACATGTTTATGCGAAGAACTACGAGTGTAATGGTCAGATGCTGTTGATCCGTATCCTTCGTTATTCATTGGATGGTATGATACTCGTATCTGCATACCTGAACGCCGTTGATATATTTCCATTCATAGGATTGATGCTATCTCAAGTTCGTTCTAATCTCTGCCACTCGCTGTACGATCAACTAACTCTTGGCTTAGTTCGTATTCCTGGCGTACATGGCTGTGTTGCGGATAACTGTCAATGTAGCACTATCGGCTTTCTTATTCGTCTTCACCGCGATCGTCAAGGTGATGTACGTGTGTTTCTATCTTTCTATCGACCTCTGCTCTGATAATTCACGGTCAGTTTGACACGAATGTGCCGCGCCAGGTTCGAGCAATATGATGCTGAGGAGGCGCAGGTGGTCTGCAGGATGGGCACGGGAGAATCTGAAGACAGCCCTGAAAGCCAGATTATCACATCAAACTACCCTGGTAGTGCTGAGGACGCACCAGTCGACGCTGAGGCTCACCCTTCGAGATTCCAGGCATGGCGCTTACCGGCCTGGGTGAATTTCTCTTATTCGACCGTTCCTCGAAGACCTCGACTGCATGAGCATCGTAAACCGAATCCGTTCGGCCCTCACGCCAGTTCGTTCTCGCAGCTACATTCAGTTGATGAAAACGAAAAAACCCCATCGACCTCGATCCAAGGAGAACCATCTACTGCCATTCTGGATAGGACGGTTGAATCCCCACTTTCTGAACGGCAACGTCAGCCTCTGGCACGCATCTCGACTTCTCTCGTACAACGACATCCACCTCTTGCAACGTGGGATGATGAACCCCGTCACGACATCCCTTATGATAACCCTTACTACACACGACCTATCAGTAATGCCCTCTGGCTCCCAAGAAATCCGCTAGGTCTTCTTGACCTCGATGACACTGTTGATGTCTACCAAGCTTTAACAAGCGAGCCCGGTACTGGTGATTTGAGTCACTCGTTCGATCCCGACTCTTCCGCATCCCCTGCATTTCAGCTCCCCAGCTCAGTGCCCGGCGACGAACCTAGGCAATACAGCGGTAGTGAAGTTATCAATCTTCCTGAAGGCATTCAGTCCCGCATCGTCACCATTGATCAAGAGGTTGATGTGGAATCCACAAGACCACGCCGTCCATCCTTGTTCTCTCGACATCGCTCGGGTAGCAATGTCAGCATGAAAAGTGGTGACCGCGGTCTTCCAGGTCGATCGCAGACCATGGACTGCAGTCGCCCCGCATTCCCTCGCAAGTCGTTCTCAGACCACGCACCAAGATCTCTTCGTGAAAGGGCATCTTCGTACCTTCCACCACCCAACCTTCACTTCCACTCTCAGTTTCGTGGCCTTGACCCTGGGTCTCGGCCAGATCTGCACGCGCAGGCTGAATTTGCGCGTTCTACGGCATCGATCGTGAGGCATGGTGGTTCGCAGGTATCGCTACATCCCATCGATGCGACTCCTCAAGAAGCTGTCGTAACAACCCGAGAAGCTGTCGTGACTGAAGCAATTGCAGAAGAACATCTAGCGACGGAGGAACGGTTGAGAAAGGAGCATGCAGCTGCTGAGTTAAATCATAGGTCGACGAGACGGCCTTGGTTTACATCTTGGCTTTATGCTAAGGTTCAGTGACGAACTGAGTACCCTAGGGGCTGATTATTATTTTGAGACACCTTTTGTGGAACCGACATGTGATGACCAGTCGGAAGTGCATCTAGTTCTAGACTGAAGCTCTGTATCAGTACTAGGACAAATTCAATGGCGCGGCCAGTGCCGTCAGAGGTCAATCTAGAAGATGATCAAAGGCTTTCGATTCTTACTGAACCCCACGGTACTGGTGGGCGCATCGATCCGCACAATTGCCATCTTAGCTCTCACGCAACTCGGGTAAAGACAAATAAATTGTCAGAGACCAAGAGATATGGCGACATATGATAATACAATGACGTGAGAAGTACAAGACAATGCAGCATGCTCCAACACTCGGATGATTTAGACGAGCCCTATAGCGATTCTTGATTAACACCAGCTTGTCATGAAGAATTATTAGAAACAAACCAATGACACCACAGGCGGCTCGTCCGCCTGCATTTCCGGTCTTGAGAGACTCTTCATTACCGCCATTTCCTAGATCATCGGTGCCCTACGCAGCGCATTAGTAAGGAGCCACGTCTAATATGTAAGGCGCCATACCGCATGAACAACGACAGCCCGCCTGAAAACGGAAATGAGTTTCATACTATTAAGCGCTACTGTATATCTAGCTTACCCAAGTATGCTCGTGGGGCCATTCAAGGAAATGAGGCTGTCTTCGAAGGAAATGGTGGCTGTGCCATATTCATCGCTCTCGATGTTTCCTAGGTCACCGACATGCCTGACAGAGCTCGAGCGAGCACCGTGGCTTTGGTCGTATGGATTGAAGTGCGACCCCGTAGACAAACAGCCACCGCTGAGGTCTCCAAGAGAGCTATCGATATGATGTGAATCCTTGACCTACTTTACGGAATTCGAAGCTGAAGACTCACTGGACATGGAAACCACGCTGAGAAGAAGGGTCAAGGTTGGTTATTTCTCCTGAGACCTTGACTGGGCCATCTGCTGAAGACTGCTCGAATGTGATAGTGCCAGCAACTGGGGAGTCGCCTTTTAGTACCACGATCGCCTGTGTGTTTTGTCAGCCAAGATGGTGGGGAACCGATGATAACGTACCTTTTGGACGATTGCGGTTTTAGATGGCTTGAACAACCAGGTGTAGCCGAAAAACAAAACAGCAATCACTGTTGCTGCAATGAAAAAGACGGGTTTCCTAGACTGTTTTTGATTTGGAGCGTATGTGTTCATGGTAGTAGGTATGTACTAAAAGTCACGCGCAGTGAGGCATTTATTCGAGGCACAACTTTCGGCCCGGGGCGCTCCAGGTACAAGGAGAGGAGGCCGGGTCCCACTCCTCGACAGGTTTTCCCACTAATTGCTAATTTATTTTCCCACTGTGGCTTCGTAAAGTGTAACGAAACGCACTTTCGAATGTCAACGAGTGTCCACTTCGATTCGCTTTGTATAATATGGGTTAAATTGAGACGGAAGCAGATGCCGATCGGGAATTGCCGAGAAGAAATACATGACGCCATGGCGGTGGCGCTTCGACACTGCGCCGCTGCAATCTAGAAACACGTGCGAGAAAGGAAAGTCCAATTGCTGTGCCTGATCGTAAAACACTCGAGACACAGTCGGTCGGTAGCGAATTCAATGACATCATTCCCCATCTAGCTCGATCGAGCTAGAGACTTAGTGGTACGGCAGAAATCCGCGCACAGACATATTATCGTCCAGTCTATTCGTATCTGCTAATCGGTACAGAACGCTGGGTATCCTACTAGCTAGTACTATTACAGTGTAGATGCATAGGCCTCGAAATTGTCTGACTTATCATGGAAAACCAACGTCAACCACGTCCATACTCGCGTGATTCAAATCGGATTATATATAGCGATGCACAGGATAACACTAAGCAGACACAACAAAAAAAGAAAAATGCTAACGTACTATGTAACTCGGTGATAAATGTGAAAAGTCATGAGAACTGCAACAACACTTCCCCAATACCCCTTTCATATCACCAACGGAGAAAATATTGTATATGATGCGTGGCATGTACTGCGCGAAACGGCTTTAGCGAGCCCGAAGGGATCGACGAAGGAAGGGGATGAATGGAGCACGTCCCTGCTCGGCTACTTAGAAAAATAGATACGTTGTGATAAAAACGCCAAGCGCGATAATAACAACCACCTGTAGTGGAACGCCTTCCTGATGGATAACGCTCTCATGTTCCACCATGGTGCCGACGTCAGATCCAGCATACGTCTCTCCGTCGTCTGAGAGCGCCGATGTATGTCGCCTTCGGAAGTCCGAAGGAGCGATCGAGGTAGGTGCAATGGACTCTGGTGCTAGTGAGCTCGGATCAGGCACAGCAGCAAGGAGATCCCGAAGTCGTTGTATCTCATCCTGAGCTGCGATATACTTCAATTCCAAGTCTTGGTTGATAGAGGGCACCCGTGCAGCTGGAGGTGACGGTGGCGGTGACGACGAATGCACGTTGACATTGACAACGCCAACTCCGCCACTAGTAGATCTCTGGAAATCAAGTTCATCCCGATAAGAACCATTCTCTTGAGAACTGTTCACTTCTCGCTCTGGTACAGGCGGCGTGGGCGAGCGCCGAGATTGCACGGGCGGTGCGACTTGAACTGCGTCACCATAAGTGAATTCTGGTATAGGTGGAGTAATGCGTGGCTCTGCATCCCTCAGAGTTGCATAGGTCTACAGATGGTGCGATCGTATTCAGCAATTAGAATGCTTCCAGGTAGTCAAAGCACTCACAGATGGTCCACCAGCGGGCTCTACAGAAGGGCGGGGAAGCACAGGGGGTTCCTCTTCCTCCTCTTCAACAGTTTGACCTTCGGGCGGGAGGTACACGACACGGAGTTTTTGTTGATAAACTTTCCACTCGTCTCCAGCGCCTGCTTGCGCATTCCACTGTGGACGAGATATGAAGATGAGAATAAGATATGCATGAAGAAAGACTTGCGAATTCCTGTAGGTCTCTGGTCTCCTTTTCGGGGGTGATGAGGGTACTTTGGATTAGGAACTTGTCCTTGCACTTGGTCGACAAAGGTGGTTCGTCTTTCATCGGTTGTAGCATTACTATCAAAGATGTGAGCAAAGTAGAGCATGGACCGAACACGAGGCACACACCGGAGACATCGACGCTTTCACCAGGCTCTATCCTGCCAGAGTTTGGTCGTACGCAGTACAACTATGGAATTTATAAGCCACAGGAACATCCTCCCCTGTATCTCTCTGCTCACCTTGGGGGCTGTGGTCTTAACTTTGAATGCTACAGGTTGAGCATTTTTATTCGTGATAGTCAGGACTTGCTTGACGAGCTGCGTGAAAGGTCCTGAACGAAAAAAAGATGAATTATTCGACGGGCGCTAGACATAGAAACTGAGAGAACACGCACTGTTGAAGCCCAACGCGTTGTTGGGAATGAGATGGACAGACATAGTTAGGAGAGGTGCGCAACGAGGGCGACAGTGGATATGAGGGAGGTGAACGGTACGTATTCGTTTGGGCGGAGGTTGAAGTTGTAGTGTACCACCTTTATTCCATCCGCGGCGAGGATCACACAAGGTCAAATAAGCAACTCGTGGACTGTGCGTGCTCGCCACACACCACGACGTACTGTCACCAAACATGCATTTATCTGCCTCATAAATCATATTAAGGCGTCATCGCCCGCGGCGCTGATGGTTGGCTCGAGGTATACGAAAGGGTTTATATCTTCACTTTCAACAGGCTCAGAACTCACTGCATCACAGCCGTTAATCGCATTTGCAAGCCTGGCTTGCAATTTCGCCGTGCGTTTGCATGCAGGCGCAGCAGGCGGTGACTCATATCGCCTCTAGGGCACATCCCTATTTACGAACAAGTTGGCCCACATCGTCCTGAAACGGTAAATATTTGTCCAACTCCTCTGTCAGTGGGAACAACGCTCGACATTCAATCAACAGTAACCATATCATAGGCTTGTCGGCAGACAACACGGCGAGGCTGTGCTTGCGGTTCAAATTTCATCCTTCAACATCAGCGTCAATTCACCACCAGCCAGCTGCCACTAGCCGCCACACCATACGACAGTAGTGAATCCACCAATAGCGGATGTTTGGATAATAGTAAATGCGGTGTCGAGGTAAATCCGGTTGCATTCCAATTGATGAAAAGCATACTTACCAGAGCCAGTCTAATGTGTCACTGTCGAATCCGATCAAGTGAAGTGAGGGGTGGGTTATGGGCACACGGCTAACTTTAAACACTGCATATTCAAAACAGATGAACGTTTGCCAAAATGTTCCTCGGGGATATCCAAGCTTGTACATATTTCATAACTTCAAAATACCTTCCCATGCAAAGTTGGGTTTGCGCATCATCATCTGGATTGCGCCAGTATGGCGTGGACAAGCCAAAGGTCGGCAACCTCCTTCACTTGATCAATGATAGCCTTGAGCGGGCCTGAGCTAACAGCATCCCAGTGTGCCTGTAATCGATGAGTAGGCGACTCAGAGGAATCGATTCAGAATTACCTGCACACTCTCCCATCCCAACACGCCGTGAATCACGTTAGGCTTATCAATGACAGGAGCCCAGCTCGAGCCATAGAAGTTTGGTGTCCCTGCAAGCCCGGTCTGAAGCTGTGCAACGAGGGGCTCAAGCTTGTCTATACTGGCACCCTCCTTGAGAGTGAAAGTAACAAATTCCGTCACTGGAGCAGAAAAGATCTGAGTAGTGTCGGAAAAGTTGACAAACACATGTTTCGGTTTGCCCGTATAGATTTGCTGAGCAGTTGCTTGTATAGCCCTGAAAGCTTCTGTCTGACGATATGCATCATGCGCGGCCAAGGAAGCCCACTCTGCCAGGATAGTTGAACATGATTGGACTAGTGTGTCGCAAACTTGACCTACGGAAGACCCAGAACGCATGGGTCGGATCCTCAACCTCGAAACCAAGGTATGCCCTTTAATCGATCGACGATAAGCCAGCATACTTCGAGGATGACTTTCATATTCACTTGGAAAATCCATCAATTTTGCCTGCTGAACATGTGGTCGTGAGCTCAGAAATCAATAGCGAAGGATCCTCGAGGTAAGACGAAGAGGTCTTGAAGTGCATGATCTTTGTGACGGGCTCCATGATGAGAGGTGATTGAGAGGAAGCTGGGTGGAGATCACTCATTTCAAGTATTATCCGTCAATATTCCGAATGCGGGGTCAGTTTGTGTAGCATTAGTGTAGGGCAATTAGCCTCGTGCACGTGGCAATTGGCAGAAAGAACGGCAAATGGTCATGGCAGAAGTCGGCGAAAAGCAAATATCGTGAGCGTTTTTTGGCGGGTCAAGTGAATTTGACGCGGCCGTGACGTAGTGTTGACGCCTTCAACTGGGCGTCGCCAACTATTGGTTCCGCTTACACTCGGCACCATAGAAACCTGCTGTGGTGATGGCGGAAAAACACTGGAACGGATATTGAGACGAGAGTTGCTAATAGCGTGGCTGGTGTACACCGCCTGCGCTCCCCACAAATACAATCAGCGCAATCCAGCGGTCTTCCAAAGACTGGGAAGCATAGGTGAACGATTTTTTTGCAACTGGTCGACAAGAGCAACATTGCGTGTTCAGGGGTATGCATAGCTTGCAGGAAGTTTACTACCAGGGTGATTCGAACGTGTGAACTGATAAACCAGACTCTGGGCCTGGGCGCACAGCTAAATCGAATGTTTTCCTCGGGGATATCTAAGATTGTACATTTGTATTTCATAGCTACAACGACAAAGTTTGGTTCGTACTTCACACTTTGTATGATGTCAGTATAGCGTGAACAAGCCAAAGGTCAGCAATCTTCTTCACTTCATCGATGATCTCCTTGAGGGGACCTGAGCTTACAGCATCCCAGTGTGCCTGTAACCGATAAGCAGGTGGCTTGGAAGAACTAATATTAGAGTTACCTGTACACTCTCCCATCCCAACACGCCGTGAACTACGTTGGGCTTATCAACGACAGGTGCCCAGCTCGAGCCGTAGAAATTGGGTGTTCCTTGAAGCTTAGCCTCAAGCTGATCAACGAGGGGTTGAAGTGCATCCATACTAGCACCCTCCTTGAGAGTGAAAGTGACAAATTCCGTCGCTGGAGCAGAAAAGATCGGGCTAGCGTTGGAGAACCCGGCAAATGTATGGGTAGGTCTGCTCGCAAAAACTTGTCGAGCAGCTGCTTGTGCAGCTTTGAAAGTGTCTGTCTGATGATATGTGTCATGCGCAGATTTGGAGGTCCACTCTGCTAATAGTTCAACGCGGTTGGACTAGTATGTCGCGAACTTGACTCACCGAAGACCCAGAATGCATTGGTTGAATCCTCTGTCTCGAAGCCAAGGTATGCCCTTTAATCGATCAACGATAAGCTAGCACGCTTCGAGAATGACACGAGTATTCACTTAGAAAGCCCTTCAATTTTGTCTGCTGCACTTTTGGTTGCAAGCTCAGAGATCAAGCGAGAGGGATCCTGGAGGTAGGACGAAGAGGTCTTGAAGTACATGATCTGTGTGACGGGCGCCATGATGAGAGGAAATTGACAGGAGTCTAGGACCGCTGAGTAGAAATTACTTTGGTTTAAGTATCAATGATAGAAGCAGGCCGAGGCCGGCCCGCTTTGTTCACTCCAGAACACTTTTTTTGGATTGAACCGGAGCCAACATTGATATGTTTTTAATTAAACCACAATGTTTACGTTTGCCATGACAGGTCCGACAAGCTGGCTGGCCTGAGCCACCCCCGAGATCGAGGGGAAGAACACAATTCATGAAGAACGAGAAGACACCTTGCGATCCGAGGATACTTACTAATTATAATATTGATGTCATCATCGCAGTTAAGTAGCTGTGCATCGGCCAGCACCCTGCTCAGATGCCACTCACAACTTCAGTAGACACTCAATGAACACGACATTGCCGGTGACATTCACTCCTGAGGCCTGAGGCTGAATCACTCTGCCCTCTCCGTCGCGAATGTTTGGCGCCAGGACAGTAGCATCGCGCAGATTATACTGCGTGATCAATGCCGCGTGCGACAACGCATGGTTTCTTGGTTAGAAAACACACATCGACGGCTGGTAGCGCAACATAGGGAGTCAGCGCTCAGCGGCGGTCTGGGTGGTGATTAATACATACTTGGGAGAATTAAATGGCGAGGAAGGGTGAGAGGAGTGAAAACACAAAATGTGCCACCGGGTCAGTATTTAAACGATGCCAAGCAGGTGTCCATGTCAGGCAGGTTTCACAAGGTTTGACGTGCGATAAGGCAAGGCAGCCTACCAGCCGTCGAGGTTGTCATTCGCCTGAGCTCGTGCGTTCAGCGGTCGGGGTGGAATGGCAGTCACGGGGACTAAGACAATTCTCACCTTCCTCCAACCTTCCTCGAGCCTCATCCAAGTCTGTTGCCAAGTGGCTGTGTCGAATATCCTAATCGGATGCGGAAATTGACCTCCAATCGTGTTTGAATGAGGTGAGCTGCACTGTGAGCAGTTCGCCCGTCTTCGCATCCCAGGTTTTACTGTGTCCTTGACGTCACAATTTGTGTGTTGTCGGATGAGTAAATTACCGTGTACACAGACACATGACCCGGTTTTGATTGTCAGGTTGACATTCCAGATTCCCACCGTCCGAGGATTCGCTGCTCAGCGCTCAGCATTCGCTTACCATCCATATTTCAACATCTATCCGTGCGCCGCTCTCCAAGTACCATAGTTGTAGTGAGCCATCCCTCGAATATGTGATGATCCGTCGTTCCCCAGGCAGGTGCACAACACCTTGTACCTGTGCAGTGTGATCTTGCATCGTCTGACGGAACGTGTGTGCTGGCGTCTGTTGTTTTATACTGGTATTGGAAGATACGATCGGCGCCGAGAGGGTCTCAAGAATAGCAGATGATCTCATGGTACAACATACGAATCCAGTCCTCGCCCAGAAGCTAACTTCGGCACTGTGTATACAGGAGTTGCGTATTAGACAATACACAAAGATCTTAGTGGGTGTCCAAAATCCCTGGTAAGTGGTGGGTATGTTGCAGGATAGCCCATAATATCACTTACGAGGAGCACTGTATAGACAAACTCAGTGCTCAAATCACCAGCGATCCGAGAGTGAGCGCGTGGATTGGAGCTGTGGAAGTTGGGCACCGCTTTGTCCAGGCGTATTTAAAGGCACGTCCCATCTGTTATCCTGCGTCTGCTTCACAGCTTAATTGCTATGTAGACGAAGCACTCAGATCTGCGAATAGCACCACGTCTTCCTATGCACAAGGGACTGCCTTTGATGACGGTGAGAAATTTCAATGAGGAGCCGCATTTCCTCATCATCTCACATGTTTTTTCCAGCTTCTTTCGAACTCGATGTCGTGGAATCTTCTATTCGCAAGCTGTGCAGCATGCTGTTACCGGATGTCGTATTCTGACACCTGCGGCAAGAGTTTGCCTCGCTCATATTCTTCACATCCGCATCCTCTCCGAGACCGACGACAGCATCCCACCACCGCTGAAAATTTGACACTGTCATTGAGAAGATTGCAAATGTATAGTCGCTCTCCCTAGTTGGTAGCGAACTAATCAAGTTATAGGTGTATCCATATACAAAGATGGCGTTAGGCGTACTTTCTGCTGCGGCCAAAGTATGTTCTACCTGGAGATCTACCTGCTCAGAAGCCATGGTCAGTGGTAGTAGTGCTTCGAGTCACCAAACTCGACTCGCAGTTGCTGCATCGGGGGTAGGATCTCACATGGTCAACACGTGTCAAGAAAAGGATGAGGTTTCTTCTTTGCCAGTGGACCCGGTTTAGCATTGCTCAGGACTTGCAGGGTGTGCCAGAGGATTTGTTGGACATGTTCTGGTGAGGTCCTGCTATGTTCATGGCTTTCGAACGCTGCTGGAGGTTGATATTGAGCACACAATGATCAGGAAGCAGCATAGTAGAAGGGCCGCAATTGATGCGATCATTGGTATCTACTAGTATATGGCGCATGTGCATCGCTTCGCATGTAAAAAGTAAAGGAAAACCAACGACTGAATTGAAATAGTATGTGCTTGTGTTTTGTATGCCATTGGGATAATCTTCAAAAATTCTTATCAAGGTACGCACATCTGCTAGCTGCTCAATTGCCCGAGTACAACTCTTCTTGTGCCTCCCACTGCAAGTTGCGCAACCTGGCAGTACTCCCGAATCTGACGAGCGCTTGAAGTGTCGTCTGCGATGGTGCTTCATTCTGTCGAGAGAGAATGCCTCGTAACCTTTCTACAGCGTCAGGATGTCGACGTAAGAATGGAAACGTGGTGTTGCTCATTCCAGAAGCGTAGATCCGCAGACATCTGCCTGTTTCAGGATCGCTTGGGTCCCTCTTCGGATATGTAGCGCTAAGCTGCGGGCCCGGGTCCCTATTGAGATCGAGAAGGAGAGCGATGTAGGGGAGATCTGATTGGCACTGAATCGTATCATGCGTGCGCGTATTGTAACCTCGATCTCCTATATTGCTATTCTTCCCCGCTTTGTCGGAAATGAAAATTTGGGACATGCGTTTCAAATCGGGGCCAAGGTCGGGATCGTCAAAATATATAGGGATCATCTTGTCGACTAGCGGCTGCAGAGGGCAGCATTGCACCGCGCTTGTGCGATGCCAATGTCGCAATGTCCATTCTTGAGCATCGCATCTAGCACTTTACAACGACATATTAGAAATGATATGGCTTGAACAACGTTTAGAAGCTTACCTTGCCGATGTACCATCTTCGAAATCACTGGCATCCGGAGGCGAGATAAACTCTTCCATAGATATCCAATGAGAAAAATTGATGTAGGCATCCTCAAAAGCTGTCTCGGCCTCCTCTCCCGCCTCCGACCAGAACGCCGTGCCAAAAAGGTATTCCAAGAAATCGATGACAGAGACGTCCTTGCAGTCCAGCAGTTCGGAGTGCTCATTTTCGAAACAGAGTACACCCCGGATCACATTTCTAGAGTGGTTCACTGGCAGGCGGATAAAGAGGTCCTTGGCAAGAAGCAGCAAAAGTCTGCTGATCAACTCTCCGCTCTGTCCGATTTCAACCATCCCACTACCAATCCTGCTCTGCAAGACAGACAAAGCATCAGGTAGTTGTCTAGGTAATTCATGGAGTAACATTGCTGCGATGCAAGACAGAAGGGGCTCTGATGGATAACCAGTATTAGTATTACTCCAGAGCCCATTTTCAGTCGCTGAGAAGCGTATGCGCAAGTGACCAGCCACCGCTGTTTCGATGTAAGAAACAGCATCGGGATGACCAAAACAGCAAATACGTGTGGCATAGCACCCAACATGTTTTTGAAAGCCTCCCTAACAAATGATGATCGGCCTTGCGATTTTAAAGCCTGTTGTGCGGCAGTGTTATCCAATTCAGCATCATTATCAATCATGATTGAGTATGCTCACGGTCTTATATCGAGAATCCACCATCTCAAAGAACTTGGTACGGGCTTCTGAGGGCCGCATGTCGCACATCTCGTCATTCCATGCTTTGATTGCAGCATCAGGCTTGCAAGAGTCCAAGGCAGGTATCTTGCAGCTCAGATCCTGCTGGAGGACTTGGAATATGGCCGTAAAGAAGGCATGACAACGAGCGCTATACTCGTCTTCTGTGCAGTACAATGCACGTTCTGTCAATATGCGTGCAGGCACTGGGTCTCGATAAGGGAACCCTCTATCACTTAGTTCACGAAGGTTCATGTACAAGACAATAACACCTTTTTTCCGGAGCTGGTTTGATGATTTTAGCTACCTGATGCATGCATGCACTTGATAGTACTGACCTCAATCATTAGTCTTGATTTCCCTGTTCCAGAACTCTGAACGATCGAGCAGAATTTGGCATAGTAAGACGATGGCCAGAACTCAGTGTTGTTGTTTTCAGCTACTGGTAAAAGCTGTCTACAGCTTCCCCAATGTAAGGACTGACAAATGAATCGTAAAGAACTTGATTCACGCCTAGCATACAATTAACGTGAGATGACATGGGATAAAAGCCTGCTGACTTTGAGGAGACTCCAAGTGCGTGGGGGAGCTAGTGTCAGGTACAGTTTGATCAAGCTTATCATGTTGTGTCTGTGTGAGCGGTACAGAAAGATTCTGTGACCCTGATTGTCCTGCCATGGGGCCGAGCTTATCGATTGTTGATGGAACTCAGGTGGTTTTAGGAGAATGAACGATGAATGTTAAATGGCAATAGGGACTCGTCGTTACATAACATCCTGCGGAACCAATTTGCGTCATCGCCATGTGTGCGTGCTCCACTCGAACCCAAAAACACTCACAATATATTTTTGCATTCTGCCGTTTTGCCAATTGCTTTTGTATCGTAGCGAGCAGCAGGTAGTCCCCGATTCTACCGTCCCATATCAATGTAAACATAGTATCCCGTGTCATCGTGGACGACATGGGGAAGGAGTAATATCTCCACAATACCTTCGCATTCGAGTCTCGCAGGTAGACCGTAGGCGTGCGAAGTTGGCGAGCGCATTGCATGACCGACAGCCTAAAAGTGATTAGTGCGAGGTTGAGAAAGAACGAATACATGATTGAACATCAACCCGCGGAAGGCGTTCCAGACGACGGGTGAACTCATCCAGGGAAGAGAAAAGCCAATGCTGGAGAAGGTCCGATGTGTTTGAGGGAGGAGAAATTGGAGTGAGAGATGAGGCTACTATCACTGGAGAGCGGCGGAGTGCAGTCAAGGTGAACTGCTGCTGCGATCAACGTCGTGCGAGTTTGAAGGGAAGTGCTGAGTAGGTGCCAATCGAGAAACGTCAGGTAGGCACATCGTCAGACGAACTCACAAGCTCCGTCCGCAGGATTCAAAATTTTGCAAAATTGCAAGAATACTGTTTGCTTTTAGTCATGCCTCAGAACACTTACATCCAGTGCGTTAGACAGCATCACACAGGACGGGAGCTGTCAAACAGTTCGGATTGCTTTTGTAGTACATACATAGGTGATGCAAAGAGCCACGGTGGATCACATGCGACGGCGGACAACATGGATACTTCATCAGGGTAATACAACGGGTCATAAATCAATGGATATGTGGATGTCTCGTGTTCAACATCATGAGGTGGGCAATCATGGAAGCTGCGAGATCCTGAGACAACGTCGCAAACGATTCAGCGAGAATGAAGGTTACAAGTATGACGAAACACGTACGCGGAGCAAGGAAAAGACAGCCACAGTGAACGAGAGAAGAGAGACCAAAAATACACAATTCTATCTAATGCGAGAGATAGGAAGAAATAACTTTGAGAAAAAGGAGCAGATGAACGTACGGGAAGTTGGATCTTTTGCAGGCAAGCACGGACCTCGGAGACACAATCGGAAATGGAATTTGTTTCACGCGCATGCAAAAATTCAGAGTGCCTGACCTGACAGAACCCTCCAGAGTCGGGGAACCGCAATGACAGTCACTGATCGATTACGTTTGTCATGACAGGTCCTGGGCCACCCGGGGGAGAACACAATTCATGAAGAACAAGAAGACACCTTGCCATCCGAGGATACTTACTAATTAAGATGTTGACGTCATCATCGCAGTTAAGTACTGGCTGTGCAGCGGGCAGCACCCTGCTCCACCTTATTAGACGCCATGACGAGCAAAGCAATGAAAAGTAATCAGGCCGCTGGTGCGATCCCCCAGTTCACCTCAAAAGATTACTCTTCTTTCTTCCTCGCAGGTAATGTCTAACAATCACTATATCTCCTAATACGCGATTCTGAAGACATCCATCTCAGGAGCACTATGCTGCACGTAAGTCTCCCCGACGATCCATACCAACCATGCATTTACACAGATAAAGGATCACCCACGGTGCAATGACGCGTGAGGCGCAACTTTCTTGTCTTTTGACCCACCGTTCACTCGTGCAGCTGTCGACGTCGTGAAAACGCGAATTCAAATTGATCCCGCATACAAGAAGCTGAACATGTTGACCGGAACGCGTTATGTTATCGCGACAGAAGGTCCCAGAGCTCTCCTTACAGGTTTCGGCCCAACTGCAGTTGGTTATCTTATACAAGGAGGCGCAAAATTCGCTGGTTACGAATATTGGAAGAAAAAGGCAGTCGAGTCTGTAGGTGGCCCGGAGGCGGCAGTCAAGTATCGAACGGCAATCTACCTTGGATCAGCCAGTATTGCTGAGTATGTCGCGATGTACTGATGATCTTCAAATTTCCCTACATTTTATCATAGGTTTTTCGCAGATATCCTTCTGACACCTTTAGAAGCCACTCGGATCCGTCTCGTGTCAGACAGAACTTACGCAACTGGACTTGTCACGGGTTTCACTCGTATAGCGCGTGAGGGTGGCATGCGCGAGCTTTACGCAGGCTTTTTACCGATTCTCTGCAAGTGAGCCTATAATGACTGACGACTTTCGCATAAATAATGTTCTGTCCAGACAGATACCTTACGCTATCGGGCAATTTACGGTGAACGAATTATGTCACGAGATTGTTTTTCGTTCAATTTCCGAAGAGACTCGTCGCACATTATCCAGTACCAGCAAATTCACAATACAGCTCGGTAGCGGCGTCATCGCAGGTTTTGCAGCAGCCATTCTGAGTCAGGTGAGTATCTGTGTCAACTCGGAAATCTCTTCACCCAGATTGTCTAACCTCTGCATGCAGCCAGCGGATACCTTACTGAGTCAGATAAACAAGGGACATGGACCAAAGGGCACCATGCCGCATCGACTTGCAGTACTCGCTCGGGAGGCTGGTTTCCGTGGCCTTTTTGCTGGTCTCGGACCTAGGATGATCATGACCGCAGGCCTTGTGTCCGGGCAGTTTTTACTGTATGGTGCAATAAAAGAAGGTAAGCATCAAGGAAAGTTTACATTTCACGCTTTAACCATTCACAATAGCTTTGGGCGCACCCCCTGGTGTAGAGATACACAAAGCAACTGGTGCTGTTGTTTGATAGACACCAAGGTTCACTAGAAGGTGTCGCTTGTATTTTCTAGAGTCACAGAAATCCTTACAGTGGTACCATACACGGGTAGAACACCACCATTTATGCGGATCTCCAGGTCAGAGCAATGATAGTAACCATAGCCATAAGTTTGTCGGGAGACAATACGGTGAGGCCGTGCTTGCCGTCTTCATGAGCTAGCGTCAGCGTCAGTTCACCACTGACCGCTACTGGATACGATAGTGGTGGATATTGGGAGGGGAGATGGGCAAAGGTGCTGGATAAGGTTCAGCAGGAATATCGCCTGGCGTGATATGGAATCCCGGTAACTTGAGATCTCAAAGTTACTAAGTGCTGCAGCTGCCAACAATATTATGCGATTCATTATCCTGTACGACATACTAAGCGATCTTCCCGAGAAGAGATGCAACTTGAACTCATCAAAGACGTCATGCCACATCGGTAGCTGATTGTTTTTGTTCCTATGTCCTGTGTGCGTAAGTTTCAATGATGAAAACGAACCATGACACCTCCTGTCACAGACACTGCAGAGGTGGGACAATCCTGCCAGTAGCTTGACACCTGATAGGAACATCGGCAACATCAAGAAATCTGTCAAGTTCTTGAATAGCGACGACTTAGCGAGGGAAACGGTAATTTTGGGGAAAATATATGCTTCCAATGTGCTCGAGAATTCCTTCAGTAGCCAAAGCATGGCAAGCCGGGCCATTTTGATACAAGCATGTCTGGATGGGTGGGCAGGAATGCGGCCTCCCGTGACCCGGCTGCTGCCGTTATGACTATCTGGACAAGATGTGTGAAAACGACAGCTTTTACGGGTCAGCGAACCGGTGACCTGCCAGCGAGACACTCAAAACGTCTGGGATTATAAATACCAGAATCACATCGTAAGTACTGCAGCTACTTGCAGAATGCAACCCATCATCTTGTACGACATACCATCCAAGCTCCCCAAGAAAAAATGGGCACCCAACCCATCAAAGACAAGGTGCTGTGGGCGCATTGCAACTCATGATGACCGACTCACACTACGCATCAGATTCTGTTTCGGCTACAAAGACCTTCCGTATGAGGTTATCTGGGTGGAGTTTTGTGACATTGTTGCAACCATGAAAGGTGTTGGCGCATCTCCAACAGCTGGGAAAAGATACACCGTGCCAACCATTAAAGACCCCAACACTGGCGTAGTAATCTCCGACTCCCATGCTATTGCCAAATACCTCGACGAAACCTACCCCGACAAGCCACTTATACCCCGCGGGGCACACGTACTCTTAGAGACCTTCGAGACCTTGTATATCAACACAGTCATGATTCCGTCCTTCAAGCTCCTCGCGACCAGAACTCTCGAGATACAGAATGATATTAGCCGGCAAGTATTCATCCAATCGCGGTTAAAAATGTTTAGAGAAACACGTTGGGAAGATATCGCTCCTGAGGGGAAGGCACAACAAATGTGGGCTGCGTTAAAGAAGAATCTTGACGTAGTGGACGGGTGGTATCAAAAGAGCGAGGGTAGGTGGATTATGGGAGACACGTTTTCATTCGCGGATATCGTCGTGGTGTCTTGGATGGTTTGGTGGAACGCTATCTTGAACAAACAAGAACGCCAAGAGGTCCACACATTGCACGGGGGAAGATGGGCACGTCTCTTGGCAGATGTGAATGCCGAGTGCAACACAGAGTTAGGCTCCTTTGAAGAACATAGTCGTTCCCTCTTATGAGTTTCGCTAGTAGCTAGTAAAGAAACAGTTGGTGCCGGTGACCGGCCTCGCACAAATAAAAGTTGATTGCCACGCACGTGACCGCGTTGCCCCGCACCGTGACTCCAACTTGAACGCGTCCGTGCTTGCCATGAACATATCCCAACGATGAGCTGTAATTATGGCTTCGGTATGAACTGAGGCAGGAATTAATGCAGATTACTTATTTGAATCTAGGCACCGAGGAAGATTCTCTTGTATCCCAGGCCCCAGGTACCCTTCAAAATCTCGCGGCAGAAAATGAAGCTGAAAAGGCGGCAAACTGTGCTAGGTTCGTTAGGCATATGTTTGAATTCTTGTCGTACACGCTTACATATTGTGCAGAATCCTGACGGAAAGTAGGTTTCCAGTCAATCTCATTGTCCGGTGCCACTGAAACAACTAATGATCAGCTTTCGGTCACACGGAGTACAAGGGGAAGCAAAAAGAAATTGTCGAGGCTGCTACTTCTGGTGAGTCATTATGGTACAATTGTGTCAAACAAATCAATTATTTGTTATACAGGATTGGATGTCTTTGTATTAGCGCCGACGGGAATGGGCAAGGTATTTGGAAATGAACTCGGATAACAACAGATCGTCCATTATATCTTTCGGTCTACAGAGCCTGTGCTTTCAGATTCCAGCAGTTGCAGATATGGTATGCTTTCGAAACCACTATTTGACAGGAGCTGACTTCATCATAGTTCGGCATCTCCATCATAGTTTCACCACTATTGGGTCTGTCGAACCTACCAATTGAGGTTGGTTTAATAAGCTGACCTATTACTCCAGCCCTGATGAAAAACCGTACGTTGCGTGCCTGTTCGTTTTTTCATTCGAGGCTGGACTGGATTGTGCAGAAGTATCAAGTTTACGCCGCAAAGGACTCCCTGCCGTCTCTTGGACGTCGGACACACCGAAGGGTGAACGAGATCAGGTATTGCAGCTGCTTTTGTATAATTTAAGTTTGCTGAGTTATGTCCTGTAGATTATTGAAGACCTCGAATCAGGGAGCCCACAAACTCGTCTTCTATATAGTGAGCTTGCTTAATACGAGAATGCATATACAGCGAGCTAATCACAATTTTGATGAGCCACACCTGAAAAGCTGTGCACGCGTGAAATGATGCGCCTTCTTGAAATTGTTTATGCGAAGGGCGAACTCAACAGACTGGTTGTGGACGAGGTAAGCGCTATCTATGGATAACGTGAAAACTGCTCATTCATTCTTTGTTTCTTTCGCAGGCTCACTGCATCTCTGTAGGTATCACAACCCTTTTCACTTTCAGAACTTACTAACAACAATGGTCTCCACAGGAGTGGGGCCACGACTTCCGTGAGGAATATCGCAAGTTGGGCTCTTTTCGGGAACGATTTCATGGAGTGCCCATTATGGCCCTCACAGCAACAGCAACCCCGAGGTATGTCCGTCAGACTGCAGGCATTATTCTCGGCTTGATCGGGATTTTTTTGTTCCATGCTTACATTGTTATGGTTCCAGTGTTCAAACAGACATTATACGCAGCCTCAAGATGTCCGAAGAAAGACTGTTTACCGCTTCGCACCCCTTTAATCGCGCCAACTTATTCTATGACATCAAATACACTGCAGCGCTCGACTCCCTGTCTCGTATGTCAGCCGTATACGATTTTGTAATGACCCTACACCGTCGTCGGGCCCGACCAAGCTCTGGGATCATCTACTGTCGTGCCCGCCTGGCGTGTGATGAATTATCGGCCTTTCTAAGGGGAAAGGGTATCAGTGCCAGGCCATATCATCGCGGGATTAGGTGCGTCTGAAGCGAGTTCTAAAAGCGAGGTCACTGATGTGATTATGACTGTAAAGCTCTCATATGCTGGATAAGACGTTGAGCGAATGGGAAGCAGGTGGAAATGGTGATGGTGGTGTTGATGTGGTATGTTTTCTCCATGTTCATCAATCGTCTCTTCTAATATATCACTTAGGTCTGTGCAACCATCGCTTTTGGAATGGGGATCGATAAAAGCGATGTTCGGTCAGCTCTCTCTTCTCCAGAGTCTGTGTGATATTGACGCTGAAAATAAGTTATATTATTCACTACGATCTTCCGAAGAGCTTCGAAGGTGCGTGTTCTTCATGAACTACTGTGAGGGGCACCATTGACCGGTAGCCCATATTATACTCAGGGTATTATCAAGAGACAGGTATAGTGATGCTATCTTAGTTCGCCCATCTCATTTTTTACCTCGTTTTTTCCAAATAGGACGAGCGGGTCGCGATGGCTACGTGAGTTTGTCTTTCGCGCCACTTTCTCGTGCTGATTATTTCCCTTTAGCCATCTAAATGTGTGCTCTATTACTGTAAGGTCGTCGTTATCATCACTAATGGACACAACTGATGTTTGGATGCAATTTACAGCTCGTGAAGACGCTTTTCGCCTCCGCAAGTTGGTGTCTGATAGCCATGCCAAGAGACAACAAGCTGCAAGCACCATGTACGGTCCTCAACCCAGTCAAAGATCCATCGATAGTTTCAGTGCAGTAAGTGACTTTTCCTTGCTGGCGTCATAAAACTCATGAGTTCTAGTTGATTGACTACACAGAAAATGTAACTATGTGTCGACACGTGGTTGGTCTCATCCTGTTCAGCAGATTGATTTGATCTAATCCCAATCAATTCAAGTCCATCTGCAAGTATTTTGGTGAAACAATTGATACGAGTGACAAGGAGGTCGTCAAGAGCTACTGTAATAATATGTGTGATGTGTGTCTTCTCCGTTCCCTCTCTCAGCTTAAATTGTGATAGAGCGTACCTCAGGTGTGCAAATACCCTGATAAGGCCTTGCGCAGAAAACAGAATCTCTCTTCAGAGGACCGCGTTGCCGTACTGTCGAACTCACGTTCCTTCAATACGGATGTATTCGAAGATGACGTTGAGAGTTCATGTCCGGTGCCTCAAAAGGCTCCTCCTGGTCAGCCCAATCCTGGACAAGCGGGAAGTGGCGGGTTGAAAAGGCCCAACACCTGTCCTGCAGGTCCGTCCACGAAGAAGGCAAAGCTAGAGGTACTGCCACCTGCATTAAGTGAGCATTACACATCCCAATATCGAGTAATCCATCTGACACTGATAGTCACGAAGCCTTATAGTTCTGTCGGTACCCTAAGGCAGCCATTCAAAATACCATTTAAGGTGCCGTTCAAACAACCTTCACAAGAAGCGCGTGTTATCGAGTCTTTGGGTGCTCAGCAAACCACTCAGAAACGTCAAGAACAAAACTACGACAATGACGAAATTGAGGTCGTCAAGGTTTGCTTCAATTCTGCTTGGCAAGATCCGCGAGACGAGTTGCTGCAAGATAATGTCCTGGAAGGGGAACCTATGGACTTTAGTCAAGGTGGCGGCGATGTATCCCTCGACGATGGTACGTCCAAACACGAGCAGTAACTTTTAGATGTCACAATCTTTCAGAACCTCAAATACACCTACCCGAGATTGACATTGAACTGGAAACGATGTTCTCCAAGAAAATACCTGTAAGTTGAAATACTGCATAGCGCACGAAAATAATGGACGATATCGCTTAGGAACCAGCAAGGAGAGAAGTCTTTCACACTATTAGACAAGCTTTATACAGAGTTCTCCGCTGGGATGATGGCGATGAAGGGTTGTGGGCCAATTTGAGCAATGCTCCATCCAATGCTGAAGCAAGGTATTCCTCACGTATTCACGAAGTGCTCATCTTGACGATTATCACCGGCCTAGACATCTACTCCTGGCAGAAGCCGCTAAAGAGATAGAGTACTCTGTGCACACGATGTCTGCCACTGAGTCTGGTTACAACCAAAGAGCAGAGGCAAAGCTGCGTGTGGTCAAGCTCATGGAGCACAGGGAAAGTCTTTGGCCGATCGATGCAGCTCATTACGATGAGGATGAAGAGGAGGCGATCGGGATGATAGGATTATTGAGGAAGGTTTGCAGTCGCTGGAGAAACACTGGTAAAAGAAAAGGCCCTTGATCTTTGTCTCTCGCCTGTATGAATGTGCGATATACAATTTATCAGACAGTGTGATGAATCACCGTAGCCAGATGGACCACCCAGGATATTCAAAATGCTGCAAAATGCCTGACACAGTGTCTTGCAGCCATGCCACGTACAACAGATAATCCGCGCTGAGATCTTCGGCAATGTACGTAGCTGTCTGCTACATCTAGTTTCCTCGTTTGTGAATGCAGAGTCCTAGAGCACATATGCCCTAATTCTCTTTGGTGCCATAAAGCGATGCGGCAAAAACTACATACCAACATGAATGAAGACCATTCTCCGCTCGAGTGGAACTTTCGTCTTTATACTGTGCATAGCACGATTGCGTCATTTCCACCCCGAAACCCTCGCCAAGCCATTGCGGCATTCCTGTGATCATCTCTGCGATAGGCTTTACTCCGGCGAGGGCTTCCTTGCCTCATATGACATCGCGCCATGCGGAGTTCCCAGCGCTTCCGCCAGTGCCCTCCGATAGTATGGTAAGGGTGTACGCGACGAGGGTGCGAACGAGGGTGCTTAGCGTGTTTAGAAGTTCATCCTAAAGGAATATATAAGTTTGAGCTCGAGCTTGAGCTTGACGAGCAGACAATGAATGTATGTGTTCTTTTATAGAAAGTTGTAAAAGTACCCGCACTGGGTCTGTGAAGCGAGCGGCAAGATCCTGCAAAAATGGTTGAACCTCTGTGGGAGCCAGCGTGGTTTGAGAGGTGGTTGCAGATGCGTACATAGGCGTAGATAGGGCAGTGAGGGAGAGCAGGGGTGAGAATAGCTCGTTTGACCCAAGGGTTGATAGAGGACGACTATACATTCAATAGAAGGCAAAGTTGGGGCAGGCGAAAAAGAGAAAGGGTAATTATTTAGCGACACATTAATTATATGGGGAGAACGCACTCGGCAGGTTGCGGGAACATCTCCGAATCCTACATGTCAAGACCTGTGTAACTGTTAATGAGGTCTCTGAGCCTGTTGAGGAGTGCGGTGGCTTGCTGAGTTTCAGAGACGGGGTTCTAGAACTTTGTGAGATGATTTATTAGGGTGTAGAAGAGTGAAAGCACCTTCTTGAGTAAAATTGATTTGGCAGTATTGATACGCTTCAAGCGGCCTACAAGGTACTCGAAAACGGACTGAGGAGGGAGAGAGGCGAGCATTGAGACATATTCAAGGTCGTCGCTGTATTTATGACTTATGTTAGTGATCAAGCGCAAACGTTTGAATAGGATCAATGATTTGAGGGGTGGGGTTGTTGATTGAGGTGGAATAGAAGGAGATTTCTGTTTCGGGTCTGGAAGTTGGACTACGGGGGTTGAAACGTTGAAGGCCCGGGAGAGGCGGGTGAAGGGGTTGGTGAATTAGACGTAGATACTGCCTGCGACTTTGCAAGGCGCTTTGCTCGAATCTGTTGTACAAATAATCAATTATTATCTTCATGGTAAATAAACGAACAATCAGCGCTCAGCATCAGCACTAGTGGGTTCGCTCATCGTCCAGGTCGTCAACCGTAAATATTTAAATACGATGCCCTCGGGCTTTATAACAACACGTGACTAGAGTCCCCCACGCATCTTTGATGAGCATTGAGCGCTGAGCACTCAGAGACAGACCGAAGCGAGAAAGAATTGATATTCTGACGTATCAATTGCTCTCGTACCGTCTATTCGAAGTCAGCACAATGTTGGTATATTTGAAGTAAAAGTAACTAAATACTACTCCACTACTGTTACAAACCAAGCACACAGTACCCGCCGGAGTGTCGTCCACCCCGTTATTGGGCTATAATTTATTGTACATCCATACAAGCGCTAAGGATTCCAGCACGGTGAAAGGGTGAAAAATAAGGGTAGAAACTCCCGACGGTGTCTAGATCATTGTGATTTGAGGCCTTTCGTATACCTCCACGCGAATTCCGTCAATATTGCCCCAACGCAGATGGCGTACATGACTAGCCAGAGCGCGGTGATGACGCGGCAGACAGTATTTTGGAAGTTAAAGCCTGCTATCAACATCGCTGCGCACGAAATGGCACATGAGGACCCAGAGAGAGCGTTGAATTACCGGAGCTCACCGAATATGAAACAATTCAGGGACAGGCCAACAAATAATATGGGCATGATGATCGATAACAGGTAGGGAAAGAGGAAATAGCCGCCTATCCTAAGTTGCTGATAAGATATCAGCCGGTGTCATGGGTAAAGCAGGAATACCCTTACTTCTCGAGTCCACTGCCGATCAGTGTGTAGCCAGCGAATCATGCTCAAACCAGATGTCATCACTGCAATCATGGCCAGCATGAGTGACATAAAGAGCAGGAAATAGGTTGCAGGTGAGGAATAGTTAAAGTAAGACACAGGAGAACCTGTGGACACAAAAACAGCATTTGTCGCGAGAAGCAGGCTCGCCTTGAACCATGTTAGCGGCAGTTTGAACTCGGGGCGTTGAATAGCTTACTACGGAGATAGTGTTGGACAGGAGGGAGCACAGCTTTTTCCTCACGTCCTCAAATCCTTCTTTGGATTGCAGTGACTCCCAGTGGTCTTCAAGATCAGGGCGTCCGAGTGCCAAAAAACAAAGCACTCTCGTTAAAGAAGACGTGTCACGAAGAGATGCGGGGATTGTTTGCTCTTCGGTGAGTGTTCTTTCATCAGGGGTCCCGTAGAACGTGAAAACCTAGCATCCTAATTCAGTTCTATGGACAGCAAATCTTTGTTTTCAAAGCACACCTCCGGAAAATACTGTAGGGCCATGGCGAGCACTATGTCGAAGAGGTGAGGTGAGGTGAATTGATGCTACGTCTCGACATGTTGGAGACTTTTTGTAGTTCCCAGAGTTAAATTATAATCGATATATCCGGCAAGTAGGGCCTAGTTGACGTTTGCCGCAGAGGGTCCCCATCTGTTTCTTCTCCATCTGCAGATCTATAGTGCTGTGCTGTACTTGAGTCCATATGGTAAATTCCCAACGCCGCGTCCTTATAATATGTAGAATATCCGGCACTTAACTAAGTAATTGACGCTTGCAGAAGGTCCGCATCTGTTCCTTCTCCATCTACAGATCTATAGTGCTATGCTGTACTTGAGTCAATATGGTAAATTGCCAACGCCGCGTCCTTATAATATGTAGAATACTATCCGGCACTTGAGCAGTTGACGCTTGCGAAGGGCCCCCATCCGTTTCCTCTTACCCACACCCCCCATCTGCAGATCTAAAGTGCTGTGCTGCGCTTGAGTAATTGCCAATCATTCAAGTTGGTCCGGCACGTTTACGACTCGCCGTAATTGACCAATCCTCTCAAGTTGTTAAGCATGTGGAAGGGTATCATGATACTTACATAAGCCGCCGAGTCGCCGCTCAGAAAACCAGTTTGTGTTGAACCAGACCATCTCGTCATGTCACGGTCTTCCAAAGAGCTCAAGGTTTGCCGTACTTCTACCCGTCGTCAGACATTCCATTACAGTGCTTTGCATTAGAAACTGCAGAAAAACGTGTTTGGTGACTTTGGTCAGGCGTTCGTCCATTTTGGGACTGTGTTATCAGTGACACAGTACTGCCAGTGCATGGCGCTTATGTACTAATCTTGATTGTCTACTTAGATAAAACCCATGCGGGGAACTCGCACATATGCATCAGCATAGACGGAGACACCGACACCCCACATCACATCCCACATTCGAACCCAGTTCTGTTATTATGCGTTCTCTGAGCTGCCATGAGCTGAGGTGAGCCAGGTCACCCTAAAATGGACAAACAAGCCTGACCAAACACGTTTGAAATTCTGTGCGATTCTGTGTGCGAACGACTGCAGTTTTTAATGCAAAGCACTGTGCTTGCAGAAGATCCCCTCTCCATCTGCAGATCTACTACAGTGCTGTGGTGTGCTTGAGTCCATATGGTAAATTGCCAATGGTCCGATGCGCGCTGTACGGCATCATAGACTCAGTTCATCTCCAACAAGTCAAGCGTGGCCTCATCGACATCCCTGAGCGCCGAGAAGCTTTGGCTTTTCTTCTTTTTTTTTTTTTTACACAAGCGATGTATAATTGCAGCAACTGACGATGCGCTATAGCGGGGTTCGGGGAACTCCGGTCCGAGGGAAAATGCACTTACGCACTCCCATTCTCATGGGGTGTGTGGGAGCTTTGGCTTTTCGAGGCCTAGCATCGTTCATGCTATTCTGGCTTGGCCGCTCCGTCTACACTGCCAGAATGCTCAACACACTGACTTCCCGCTGGCCCATCATTCGCGAATGGCTGCTTTTCCTCGAGGCAGACTACGCGTACAAAGACAGCATTGATAGAACCATGCGTATCCTTGCTAAGCGAGCGATCGTCGACTTCTTACGTGCCATCTGCAGGCATGATATGCTCGGGAACTCGCTTCCTATCGTCCTGTCTAGCCCAGGAATCGTGTCTTTGTTGTTCAGTCTGTGGGATTTAGAAACAAAAGGTTGTCATTTCAGCTCCTGCGTGGAAGACGATGACATCCCTAGTCCCCCTCCGATTATCCGCACTCCAGCTATTCTAGACTCCTGGATGTGCACATTTTCTGAGACGGAGACCTGGAATTGGCATGAAATCATGCGCCCGTTCGACAATGACGGAGCGAGGATTGCTGCAACAGCTCTTGATCATCTGGAGCACGACCTCGCACAGCACCCCATCGATAACGACTTGATTATCCACCTCCTGACCTCCCTTTCCGTAAACAACACATTCGCATTCCGTTACTTGTACAACACTCCATGCAGAAAACAGCAGACGTGACAAGTTGCCACCATGGTATCTCAGCGGCCCCACTCCATCAAACAACGTCACTTAGTGGCCAAGGCTATTTCGTACGCATGCCGGTATATCAGGGCGTATGTAGAAGACACGGATGGGCTACCCTGGATTTCTGAGGTCCTCGAGGCAGGCCCACTGCCCTCGTTGCTAGTGCTTGAGCCGTGGGTAAAACACCTCAAGGATAGTAATGACGAAGACTAGGAGCCATCTGGCTTCTTCTCTCGAGCATTTCCCCCAAGTATGCGATTTTTGGTTCCGTGCTTAAAGTGATGGGTCGGTCCATCAAGGCCCTTAATGCCGTTAAGGCGGTAGATAGGCCAAAGCCGGATGGCCCAATGCACAAACACTGGTCCACATTGGAGACACTTGTGATGACCCGACTCAAGTTGTTAGAGACTGATGATGTCGACGAGGCACATGTTGATTCTTGTCAAAGTTCAAAGGTACATATCATCTCACATATGATCTTTGTAGTGATCGATGTCCAGTGCAATAAATATGGAGTAGCAGGCATCTTCAAGCGCTGCGCTGGACCCTGGTTGCCTTCACGTGCATTATTGCAGTAGGGAATGCCAGATTTGTGATTGAAAACAAGGCGGCCATCAATATATTGTCGCGGAGTACAAGCTCGCCGTGCCAGTATGTGTTTCATAAATTGGAACTGATGCCGAATTTCATCCATTGATTCCTTGCAGAAGGAATTATGTGCCGTATTTCTACTCGTGATCTCCGCTTTCTTGAATGTGCTGGCCTCTCGTAGCATAACGAGCGAATCTCTAGGACAGCAGCAATACACGCTCCAGGGGCTGCAGTCGTGGGCAAAGTCTGAGCATCAAATGTATATTACTGTATCAAATATAGATTGTTTTAGATTGCAGCAAGTGATGAGAGACGATAATCGAGCTGATTGAGACTTGATTGGGATCTAGACGCACACCCTGAACACCCAGCATGTCAAAGAAAAAAACAAAGGTGCCCCAGCCAGCTGTACGAAAAACACTCAGGGAATGAGTCCTCTCAACCTAATTCTATCAGGATGTCAGATGTTAAATTGGCTGACTACGCTACTGATGTAACTCAGCTCATCGAAATATACAATAAACGAAATCACGAATGTGACTGCAGGTGTCTCAAATTCCGAGGTAAATCAAAAACACGCTGAGCCAGCTATTAGAGAATACGCTTGTGCATCCTGGTTATAACCAGGTTACATGAGTTATGACGGGAATTCCGCTTAGTTAACAACGTTGCATTTGATCTACCGTGATGTATACAATATAGTACAAGCTCTACTTATCCGCGGACGTCTGCGTGACTAGTACCGTTTGTGCTGTGTCCCGGAGAGGTGGGAGAAAGGCTTACCTGCGTCCCTGATAGCCAAGATCAGTCGCGATGCTCGTTAGAGAAATGTGTGTTCGAACTATTACATACTGAGAGAACAGTATCCATACTGTTACCCCTCTTGAAAGTAAGTGACAAATCCTGTCACGGAGGCAGAAAAGATCCAAGTTATCCGACTAGTGTCGGAAAAGTTGACAAAAGTATGGGTAGGTCTGCTCGCAAAGAGCTGTCGAGAAGCTACTTGTGTAGCCTTAGAAGAGTCCGACTGACAATGTGTCATGTATAGGCTTGGAAGCCCACTCTGCAGGCTAGTAGTTCGATATCATTGGACCTGGTATGTTGTCAGGTTGCAAACCTGACGTACCGAAGACCTAGGATGCATTTCTTGGATCCTCCGTCTCGAAACTAATGTTTGATCGGAGATACACAAACACACTTCGAGGATGACTTGAGTATTCACTTAGAAAGCCCTTCAATTTTGTCTGCCGAACTTTTGGTCGCAAACTCAGACATAGGATCCTAGAGGTAAGACGAAGAGGTCTTGAAGTGCATGATCTGTATGACGAGCGCCATGATGAGAGGCGATTGCAGCTATTTCCATATTGATAAGACCGGATTTCATTTTTCGTCTTACCGCTTCTATTACCTGTTACGGTGCTGTTCTGGCGGAACGAGGGCGGAATATTTACGTCCCCAGGATGGCACAGGAGTCGGGAGTTCGCTGCTTCCCTCTGCAGGTGGGCCATGGAAGAAGTAAATTTTTCTCACGGTCGCGCCACGCCTCTAGGAGTTGGACAACGAGGAGGAGAAATCATAAATGGCGACGAACGAAGCAGCAACAACAACAGCGGCTCCTCCAAACCCCGCGAACATAATTACCGCCCTGACTAGTGCCTTTAAAAGTCAAAATGGCGAGGCAGCATCGAGCACGCGCATAGCCCAGCTCCTCGAGCAGAACATGGGCCAACTTGGCGAGCTTATGCGGCAGGGCAAGCTCACTGCCGTACAGATCCAGCAGGTCCGTCGGCTTTTAAACCAAGTGAGATTTATTTTGTCTCACCTGGGCGTCTTATCTGTAGCTGAAAGATTACGCTGAAAAACACAAGTCCGCGACCAGTGCTGCTTCGGGAAATGTGGCTGGCACCTCAACCGCGAATAGCGGTACGAAGGTAATGATGACTCAATGGGTAGGAACCTCCTTTATCTCATCCCCTTTGTGGTAGACTGGGGCTACTGCAACAACTGCTACCGCTTTTAAAAGCGGGTCACCAGCACCTCTTCTTACATCTACACCTGGTGACGGGTATCCCATTAGCCAAACTCTCAACACCACCAATCCAGGACCCGTCCAGTGGGCAGCTGCACAGCAAGGAAGACCAACTCTTACAGGTGGAATGACTAGCGGCAGAGTGTCTGGTGAGTTCCTGACGATCATTTGCGGGGAAAGTAGCGATCCCCTCCGAGTAATAATTTTGATCCATATCGCCAGGTACCCCTGCTCAGATCGCACGATCCACGGACGATGCTGGTATGCTCAGCATAGAAGACAACCATCCACGGAGAAAGAATACCCCGGGAGATCAGAGCATGAGACGGTCGATACAAGACCTCGTCTCAAGTGTTGATCCCAACGTTCGGATCGAACCTGACGTGGAGGATGTAAGTCACTGTACTCAAATCCTTCGACATGCCTTCATTGTACCATCTACAGCTACTTCTTCAAATCGCCGACGAGTTCATCGACTCGGTCACAAACTTCGGTTGTCGACTAGCAAAACATCGCGGCGGTGACACGCTCGAAGTCAAAGACCTCCAGCTTCACCTTGGTAAGTCTGATCAGTTCATTCTTCCTCGTTCTACTCACCGCTCTGTCTCAGAACGCAACCACAATATCCGTATTCCCGGATTTGCATCGGATGATACGCGAATAGCCTTATCTCAGGCTGCTGTAGGACCTTCCGTGCCTGCAGCGGCAACAAAGAAAACAGCTCAGGGCACATCCATGACTTTACGCAGTCACCGCTTGGCGCAGGTGCAACAAGCGAAGAGGGAAAACAAGCTCGCATAGTGAATCGCGCTGGACATTCTTGCTTTCTTTGCTATCCCTTTTTTCATTGCTTGTTCGACTTGTAACGTATAATTGCTCATACTATAGTATCTCGAGATGTCACACTGACAGGGTGCTCCTCAGGACTTTTAAAATGCTACTGATATACTAGTTCTTATTCATCAAGGAGGGTTGAGTCTGAAGATGATGCATATGTTCGAAGTACTCCGAGACCGTTAATGATACTTGACGAGGTGCGTGTTCACCCAGTATAGTAAGGTTTAGTTTTGGGGGCTACCCAAGTGAGCGAGGTACGAGTGTAAGAATTGTGACTTTGTGATGCAGCACTCGGCCTCTCTTGTTTCCGCAGTGTTCACGCCACGCTCCAGCAGGCCCAAACCTGCCTGCTGCTGCTCTCCTTTCCCCCAGCTACCAATCACTTGTCCTCGTTGTCTCTCGTATCGTAGCCTACATTACTACTTGTCCCTAAAGCACATGCTAGTACTATGCATCCCTCTTCCGGGTCCAGGAGCCCGGGTGGCTGGTATCTAGACCTGCTGAGTTCGAGGCTGCTGCTGCGAGGCTTGCCCACTGGCGCTCGCATCTCACGTCGGCTTTCTCTTGGACAGCTTGGGGGCCAAGTCGTCCCTTCGTGTTGTTCTCCCTACCACTACCAAGACCGCTGCACGACAGCAAACACGAAAATTTTCCCGAGAATTGAGTGAGAAGGTTTTGCTTGTATTTTCTGGAGTCACAACAATCTTTACAATGGTATCATACACATGGGTAGAACGTAATCATTCATGAGGAGCCCGACCAAGCGCCTTAACAAGTCTTGATTTGATGTCTTGTTCATGAGAATCGTTCGTAAGATCCATAGCCAGAAATTTGTAGGTGGCGATTCCGGCGGCCTTGATATTTTCTTGTTCCTCTGCGGTCATGTTCTCTTCCAAAAGCTGCCCTAGTTCATGGTCGCCCAACAATTTGCTTGAGGTACCAGTGAATAATCTCTCCGTGGGTGTGTAAGAGGAAGGAAAACTACCTGACGTACTGCGCACGCTGTGCAATACGGGACGGCAAACCGAACATCGTAGCACATTGAGCTGCATGAGAATTGAGGGAAAGACCCGGGGAAACACTGGTTCGTTAATTAGGTACGCCGATGATTGCATGAACCCAGAAGGTACCGATAAAGATAGGTTATTTTCTCTCCAGGGGCGACGGCGAATGTAGGTTCCAAACGTTCGTGATCGGTTGAGTATAGGTCTTCAGATATCGACACGTCACCGGGATTGAGGTTGTTGCCTTTGCTTGAAGTGAAGATCACTTGCATGTGGAAAAACATGATCGGAAACTTGTTGGGATCGAGCATGTCCTTCTGAAAGACTTCATGGAAATGTGTGGCAGCTAAAACCTTAGGACACTGAGATCCTCTGTTGAGAAGATGTTTGATGACACCGCAAAACAACCCAGCCCCGTCTATGGACAAGTAAGAATCGACAATTATGCTTGTACCGTAAAGCGAACGAGCCTGCAGGGATCGTCCCCTTTCCGAATTCATCAAGGAGAATGAGAGAGTTTGCGGTACAATTCCGGAGGGCCAAGGAAACCTGATTGAGATCAATCATAAAAGCAGATTGAGCCTTGCAGCCAGTTTAGTATATGAGGAAACCGGGGCGCTGCAATAATACTTTGGATACTGATTCGCGGGTCTGTATACGAGTAAAGACTGTAGAGAAGGGTTAGTTGACATAAAGCGAAAAAGTCCAGAACGTCACTTTTGTCGACGATTCCCAGGGTGGCAGATGCCGCTGGAACGAAACTTCACAGGGTCATGAAGCTTGAAGTACGGAAACAATCACGAGTCCCTTACCAGCCGATCTAGGTTATTCAAGAGTTATGAGTGATCCAATATCTCAGAGCGGTTGCCAACCTGGGCCATATATTGAATCAGAGCAACCTGGTCTCATTTCAATACATCCTGGCATGTGACTGGTCAGATCTTTACCTGTTTCAGGTAGACGCTCTGCATTGTGCAAGAGGGAATTGAGCTGATATTGTAACGTGTAATTTGAACCTACTTTTCCGCATGCATTCGCGCCAGTGCACAAAACAATGCTGCTACACATAGGCAGATTGTCAACTTCTGTCTGTGGTTCGGCGCTGTCACCGAAACCGATACCAGCTACAAGCTGAGCATCATTGGGAACAAAAATGTCGACTACCTGCTCTTGTAAGGGATGTCTTACGAGAGAAGGTTAATAATGTAGCAAGTAGCACTCCACGATGCTCACCGTCCTTGATCGATGTCGATAACAGGATCCTCTGACATCTGAGGTCGACAGTAATTGTATGCCCGAGAAGCCTCTGCAAAGGCTAGCAGGCAGTCCAGTTCGGCACAAACGTCACATGCATGTCTCATCCCTTCGCTGAATACAAGGATCCGTTCCAAGAGCTCTTGGACGATCTCTATTTCACGGTCTGTTGCACGTGAGTCTTTTACTGATTAGAAGCTATCAAAACTCGCACCGACTATTAATGGGTGGAGATCGCCGATGTGCATATCCATGTCTTAGACCTGAATCACACGCTTTCTCGGAATGAGGATCAAGGCAAGCTTACCATCCATCTCTTCCGATTTGAAATACACATGGGCACTGGAAAGACGCCGTTCAGTCACAAAGTCAATCATTAACAAGACTTATCGCTTGCTCTGAGGAGAACTGAACGATTAGGTCAGTCCGTTACATCAGATATAGCAAGGACAACGTCGGGACTTACCTGGAAGCTCCATCCATCTAGAACCTTGATGCCCTCCTCAGTCGTCCATTCCTCCTGCATCGGAACGCAGATCAAAAAACCTGCCGATGGAAATTGTTGAATATACACTTATACTAGGTTCGAGAATGCATCACCTAGCTGTGGGAAATATACCACGTTCAGGGACGGCGTATAATCTACAGGAATCTTTCGGCATATTTGCTCAGCGACTTTACACTATAACATGTTGAGAAAATGACAGAGCATCTGTGAGACAGGAATGAGCCCACCAAGACAGCGTCCAATCCGGCGTAAACGTGTTTCCTCTGATCTAGTTCCTCGTCGATGTACGATCTAACACATATGCGATTGTTGTTGGTAGATTCCTCCCAGTCAATCTAACCAGTGAATGGGTAACTTAGTAAATAGAAACAATGATACAAGCACTTACTGTCTCGTTGACAGCATTTCCGGTGTCCTTGAAGCTCGCAATGTCCAACGTTGCAACCAGCTAACAGTTCATTCAGTCCAGCTTCTCCTGGCGAGCCGCTCACCAATACCATACCTTTCGTACTACCTCTACTCGATCACCTCCGTGAAGTTCTGCCAGGGCGTCGCGTAGCATTGCAGAGTGATATGTAAACTTCGCTTGACGTCAGATCGAATTTGAAACTAGAACCGGGTGAATCATACCTTCACCAGGCCTTGCCAATCACTGACGCCAGCTTTCCCAGATCGCAAGAGTCCGAGGATCCTCGGAATATTCTTGATACCTTTCAAGTGAGTTTGCAAAGCACTCGCAGGTGCTAAGTTCTCCGGATGTAGAAAGCAGTCAATAGCGTCATGGCGGGCGGCGATTACAGGAATGGATAGAGACGGGCGCATGAGCCAGGTGCGGAGCAAGGAACGACCCAAGGGTGTCCGAGTATTGTCAAGGATACCTGTACATATTGATGAACGTGACGACATCGAAAGTCGTGATAACATACCAAAAAGCGACAAACCTTCTTTTGTCTTATCAGAGTGGATGGATGCGTGGCTTTCGTTTTCGAATATCTGGAGGGAACTGTACTTCGGTTAATGTACTCTCAAGGCAACACCCTGATGCCCCACTTACAAAAGTGCGTCAGCATTGATGTGCATGACCTTATCTCTTAGAAAGGAGTCAACGCAATACTATGCAAAACGTTTGCAATACCGACTCACATAGTCAACACTTCGATGCCGGAGATGTGGAGCCCCTCGACGCCTGCATCATCATCCAGTTCGCTCGCTGCTCGCTCCCTCGCAAGGTAGTCGAGCAGAGCGCCAAGGCATGAGATCTATGGTGTAATAGATGAGACAAAATACTGCACCCGCGTATCTAGACGCACACAAAGAGGAGAAGATTCCACCGATGCATAGTTGGCCAACCTGATCGCCGCATTCCATCTTTTCATAGTTGGGTCGCCTGCCGGCTGTTTGCGTTTCTGCATGAATTCATATGCGTTTCTTGGCTCAGCGCCTGAATTGCTGTCGGATGACAAACATTGACCAGTATCTTCGGTTGTCAACTCGGAGAGAAAAGGGAGCGACAACAAGCGGTCTCTCCCTCTGTGAGGAGTGAACTCTTTATGTGGCCTGATTTGAAAGACACCTCCAGAAGCCTCAGCTGAGTCGTTGGGTTGAGTACCTGCGCATATATGCAGTGGCAATAGAGAGCATACCAAATTTCTGAAGGACCGATATAAACGGGTCGTCGGCTTTGGAGCTGGTCAACACTATGTCAGCGTTGCATTGTTCTAGAACTGGTACGGGTTCAGATGGGCAAAATGATGAGAAGGATTCCACTCAACGCATGTTCGTAAGATCGAAGTGAACATCCTCTTGCGTATCTTCAAGCACATAGACTATACACCTAACAGAATCGTAGTATGCGCCTGCAACGCGTCCTCTGGAGGAAATACGCTGATATGTATTGGAAACACGCACTCATTGAACGACTTACGATTGGCAAGACATCGTCAAGTAGATCTGACTAGATGGTCAGCTCCACGGGACACAACACTCTTTGAGAAACTTCACCTTTGATGTGTTCGCATCGTCCTCCGAAATACCGTTCTCCGTATTTGCTACCGCTGCCACTGATTCAGAATTACCCTCCCATCTGACTTTCTTTCGTGGCAACTGGAAACTCTCTTCAGTGTCGGACTCGGCTGTCTGATTCAGATTTTGCTCGTGGTTTTGTGCGCTCTTAGCGACTTTATTTTTACGGTGATTAGAAGACCTGTTTTGTTTTGTCCTCTTCATGTCGTTCCGATGCGTGTCTGTGGATGGTAAGCGGTAACTTGCAAGGCAACAACTTGAAGTTATACTGTTACGTCACTACTGACAGGCGCTACTAGGGCAATGGATCCAAACCGAGTCCTCGCGAAATATCATTATTATTATGTCGGGTCTGAATATATATATATGTCATGTGCGGTTTCATTACTAGCGTCAACGCGTCATTCATTCATGTAGGTGACCGAAAATCCCGCTACATACTTATCTTTTCATCTGTTCTACTATAGTAATGCTGGACTCCGACTCGGAGTCGTCCACCAGAGGCGTGCAATCAGCCAAGCGAATACGTCAATAGAAGATATGTGTGTTCCTGCAGTTTGAAGTTCAATATACAAGCTCATAGTCGACATGTGCCTTTTCATTAGCAGCGACGGTACAATGATGACGAGATGCGGACAAGGTAATAGGATTACTTCTTTACTTTCAGTAACTCTTTTGTGTCCTCTCCAGTCACTGTGTAACAAAGAATTTGTGAGTAGCAACCGTCACAAAGTAGGAGACAACATACCATTCAACAAGAGGCTCTGGGCATCTAACATCACTTTATTCCCTGAGGAGGCTAGCATGTTGGCGATATCCCGTGCGGCCTCAAGCCGACGAAGCTCCAGAAATCCTTTATTCGTGCGCATGGCTTCACCAATCAGCTCAGCACTCTTTGCCTCACCTTGAGCTCGCACTATAATAGACTGTAGAAGACACATCAGAACTAAGAAAAACCGATAATCACTACAAGGATATATTACCTGCTTTTCTTGAATGGCCTGATCAACCAAGAAGGCAGCCCTCAAAGCTGTTTGTTGAGCGACCTGTAGGGCAAGATTACCTCGGTGAATGGGATATGTGCCAGATTACTTGCCTGCTTGGCCTCGACAGCATGCGTAAACTCAGGTGAAAACGCCACATGGGTAATAGACACATCGTCTAGCACCACATTAAAGCGCAATGCACGATTCGTCAAGTTCTCACGAATTAACCGGGACACCTGACACATAACCCATCGTCATTTTACAACAGGGTAGCAGGTGAAAATACTCCGCACCATCTCACGTTGTGTAATAAGCTGACTTGCATTGAACTGTGCGACCACACTTTTGAGGACTTCATTGACTATAGACGGTAGTACGCGCTCGTCATAGTCTTTTCCTAGTTCACGGTATATTTGAGGCAGAGCAGATACAGCCGGCCGGGACAGAACTCTGCAAGTAATGTTGACCATTTGCAAATCTACAATTCCAAATTAAGCGGGTACATGTATGCCGCAAGCTGCAGACGTCACCTTTCGTGCCAGTCAAACTTGCTACACTCCGAGGCTTTGCACGAATGTCGAAAACTATTGGAGTCTCGAACCAGGGAACCTGAGGAGCGTAAGCAAACAAAATGCGTTAAAAAGAGTGGTACGAACCATGAGATGTGTCCCTTCGCTGTACACCTCATCCTTAACACCCTGGAGACTGAAGCCGAATGAGCCATCAACTCAGAAGGCACCTGACACAACAGCCTACCGAGTATATTTGATAGCTCTGTGACCACCATCAACTTATTTGAGTTGTCAGAAGTCGCTACAAAAATCCCGATACGAGGCACACCGTTGAACAAGCTCGAATTCAGAAGAAGTCCACCGCCCACTAGCGCGACTATAAGGCCTCCGCCTGCGAGGAAGCGACCTGGACCTCCTGGCATCCCACCACCACCTCCCGACTGACTAGCCCTCTTTATTTGTTGAGCAAAATTTCTGAATGCGTCTTGACTATTCATGGTGTCGATTATGCCCGGCAGAGTGAAGAAAGTTCGAAGCCTACTACGCAACACACCGGCACACGTCACGTGCTCCTTCATGACATTTCAAATTTTGTCCCCAAAAAATCTAATCTTGATTTTGGTCTTGTTTTCTTCCATCTCCTTTAAGCGCTGAGCTACCAAGTGGTACCGTCCGTAACTCATCAATGTTCGGGGAAGGAAATGCAGCCAGCAGTGTCGTGCGTAATCGCGTATTCCAATCGACCCCCGTGCTGACTTCGAATTTTATTGAAGCTTGGATGGATTTCAATAGCATGCTGGTCAGTGAGGCAAAGAATTTATGTCAAAAATCAGACTCATCTTTCACAACCTCTGCAGGATTGTCGTTTATTCTCCTCAGATAATTGAGAATTACCAACTACAGAGCGGGGAGGGCTTATCTCTTCTTTTCATCTATGTATGGTTGCTGGGTGACGTATGTAATCTCATGGGTGCAGTGATGGCCGGATTGCTGCCTACCGTAATCATCCTTGGAGTTTATGTGAGTTTTATGTGCTACTTGTAATATACCTCCCTGATGTGATACCCTTATCGGCTAGTACACTTTATGCGACACAATATTGCTTTGCCAAGTATACTATTACCGATGGAAGCGGCAAGCCGGGAGGCACGTTGTACCTGTGCACATCACAGGGGAGGTTTCCGAAGAAACCTGCCTTATTACTGATAGTCGCTCAGCGGATCCCCCGGAAAGACCAGAGCTCTCGATCACGCGAATTTTTGTGCGGTACCTGGCCGCTGTCACATTTGTATCAGTCACTGGTGTGGCGGCGTATTGTATCAGCAACTGGCTTCCCAGCGATGATACCCCTCCAGCCCTTCCAGATACGAAGCTGGATTGGCATATCCAGGTAATAGGGTGGACCAGCGCCTCTGCTTATCGTGTGTTCCTGTCATACCATGTGTGGATACCTTCACTTACCACCTTCCTCGACAGTTGGTGCTCGGCTGCCACAAATAGGTCAGTATTGCTCACGCCTAACGCCAGTCACACTGTTCTGAATTTCCGTTCAGTCAAGAACTTCAAGACCAGATGTGAGGGTCTTGCCCCTGGATTATTTGTCTTCTCTATTCTGGGAAACACGACATACGCATTATCTATTATTGCTGCATCTCGCGACGCAGATTATCTGATCAGGAATGCAAGCTGGCTAGCAGGTATTTGCTCATGACTTATGTACTTAGTACATGCGGTTGACTAATCGCTTAAATCCTTTAGGTAGTGGTTTGACCGTCTTTCTCGATATTCTTGTACGTCCAATCGCTCTCTGCCAAATAGATTTCATTACTCAGAACTCTAATTCTCCTATCTTTAGGTGCTCAGCCAGTTCTTTTATTACGGATTTGTTTCAGGGCAGCGAGGCTGGATCGATAGAGTTCCGGTGTAATGCTCAGTGTTACTATTAGAAAACTGTATGTACTGTTTCCTAGTCTTAGTAGAACTTTACGGACTGCTTTTACGCATATGTTATCTATTTAAATCGTACCTCGCTGACCGAGATGACGCACGCTCGTGAAACTGATTGCATTGCCATTTTGCCCAAAAAAACATCTAGGGAGGATGTCTATGGTACAAATGACCCATATCCCTGGATTTTGCAGTTCTTGTTAGCTGTGTGGGAAAGGGATTCGGATCGAACCAGGGACTTTGCACTTTGTTTGAATCTCACTTTGCCTCGTTGCTCTCCTCGTGTCCGAATTGCTATTTTGCCGCCGCACGTTGCAAGTTTCATCAAACAATTCCGGACGAAATGTCCTCCTGGAGTAACTCAATACAACATGCTCCTGGCCTCGTGCCAATATCAACGGACACCGCAAGTTTCCATTATTTCGCAGGTACATTCTTATCCGTGCGATCAACTTAAAACCTTCCAGTTCTCGTCGGATTAGGTCCCCATCTTTCTGTCCGGTTAACTTTGTACGTACCAGGATGATCACAAATGCAGGCATGTCCTATCTTATTCATCGATTAACTGCGATGACACTTATGTGTACACGCACAGGTGGTGTTTGAAAACGTTCACGGCTAGTCAAGCCGCATTTTATTGAAAGCCCTACAACCACATCACCGTTATTAATTCAGCACTTTTACGTGCGGTTGTTCAGCACTCATAAAGAGTTCAGCGACAACCACGTACCCATCGATCACCTGTAGCCATCATACTATATGATGCAGTGGCCATCTTTATCTCGCTCAGCTAGAGACGATACCACCACTATCATCGCTGATCGCCGTGGTTCAAAGTTACCCGATGTGACTGCCGCCTTTCTTACTCGGCCATCTAGCGTATCATCCTCGACGTCCTCATCACCAACGTCCCCTCCTCCACCTTATGAAGCGATTCATTTCCTATCTCAACCGGTTTCGCAATGCATTCCAGGTTTTGTCCCAACGCCGTCTGCCAACGGCGGACCGCCTCGTCGTCGTGAAAACTCTGCGCTATCCATGACACGATACAATGTCGACCACTCGCTCTCAGGAGGAAGTTCAACTTCGGGTGTGTCCATCCCTCATTTGAGGGAGGCACTAGACTCCCTGGATACTCAGATGGCATCCTTGCTCAACCAGCGCCAGGAGCTAGAGTCGCACCTGGATCAAGTTGTTCGATCCCAATCTCCTATCCATCGAATTCCAGAAGAACTCCTTTCGTCGATATTCGTTGCAGGAGTGTGTAATATAGGAGAGGATGACCCACTATTGGTAGCGACCTTAATGTTGGTCTGCCGATATTGGAGGGACGTCGCCATCGACACCCCAGAACTGTGGGCGGATATCTGCGTGAGTCCGCACGACTCCCTTGAAAAAGCGCATCGCAAGCTCGCACGTTCAAAATCGGTACCTCTTGATATCACGATCAACTTCACTCCTCGAGTTGACAATTCGAGCGGCGCCATGGAGAGTATTATTCATGCGATGGATCTTATCCGTCCTGCGCTTTGGCGAGCAAGGTCCTTTCGCCTCAGTGTTCCCAACAAACCACAGGCACATGCTGCCCTTCTGCGCTGTAAAGAAGAAGCTCCCTATTTGGAAAGTCTCTGTATCCGCGTATTCCATTCTATGCAGGAAGATCAATACTCCAGCCCCTGCCTTCCGCTTTTTAAGGGGCACACTCCCCGCCTTCGTTCGTGCTCTTTCACGTCCTTTAATTTCAATTGGGACAGGAGAGTTGTATCAAACCTGCGCGTGCTCCAACTAGGGGGCTACTGGAACGGGTCTTCACCATCTGTCGACACCTTGCTAGATATTCTGCGAGGCTGTCCAGGTCTCGAAGAACTTGCATTGCGCAACATGTCGGACGTGGATCCTGAAACTTGTGTTTCTCTCGAACATGAGTTTATGTCTACGAAGGTTGTGAAACTCCCAAGGCTTACCAAGGCATCGTTCTATTACGCAGGCATCATGCGCACGCGGATGCTTCTTAGTCAAATATCGTTCCCTGCGCTTGAGTCACTCGACTTCTGCTACCTCGACAACCTCACACCAGTTTTGGAGCACCTTCGACAGCAATCTCTTACTTCCCTTCCACTGAAGTATCTTCGTATTGAGTCAAGTTTTTTGAACGAACCGAAGTTTATAATACTACTTCGGCGACTAACATCATTGGTTACTCTGGAGTTGGTGGATGTGGAAGATATCACATGCTTCTTGTTGAAGGTGAGCATCCACATAACCGTGTCATTGGCGCATATTCCAATTACCTCTTATCAGAATCTTTCCTCGCCGCCTGTGGCCCATCCTTGGGTGTGCCCCAAGCTAGACCGTCTCAACCTTGACGGGTGCACTGCACTCGAGTGGGATGCTCTACGAGGACTTGTGGAATCTCGCCTCTCTGGTCGTCCACCTCAACTCTCTTCTGCTTCGACTGCAGTAGCTTCGCGCTCATCCTTCGTATCCACCGCGTCTGCTTCTGCCCATATCCACGCCTTGTCCCTAAGCCGTTCTGCGACGCCCACAATGCAGCCTCGTCGTCTATCGTCGATTGATGTTACACGCTGCCATCAGATCAGCAAAGAGATGGTGCAGTGGCTCAAGATGTACGTCCGCGATGTTCGCTGTGAGCCAGCAAAGGGGATATGGGGAGAGTCTATACTACCCTAGTGCTGAGCAGCTCCCGATTAATATTTCTCGCGAACACGCACACCTAGATTGCAAATACTTGAATTGATGAGTGCTACGTGGATTTCCTGTACTGATTGTATACTGTACTTACCCGCACGATGGTGTCTGCATGCCACGACATTATGTATGTAACGAAAGACTGTCACTTATTAAAATATTGCCCGTGTACAGTTTGTAGTTTTCATGCAATTCACTTGATCTCTTTTAATACGAGGTCGTAAACTATTCGTTAAGATATGCAAGCATATGTTTCCTTTCGTTCTCTTCGCGCTTTCGTACCTTCGAAAATCCTCTTCGACCTCTGCCAACTTCAACCCTCTTCTTTCGCAGTTCCTCAGAGGTCCTAATGTGGGATGCCAATGCCGCTTGGTTATGAGTAACCCGCTTCTTCGACTGCTTGTATGGGCCCTCAGTTTTCGCCTTCAAACCAATCCCGAGGCGGTCAGATTTAAGTATCGTTGGAATAGGCGTCAAAAGCGACTTCTGGGTGTACGGATCATGTTCTCTAGACGCACTGGACGCTGGAGCAAGCGGAAGGGAAGCAGATCGGTGGAAAGATTCAAAGTCATCTTCTGTCTCTGACTCTGATTCAGATTGGGTGAGATCAATGACGTCTGGGGGTATATCTCGAGATTTATTGTCGCCGACTAGTACGCTTGCTCCCCGCAAGGGTGCATGCGAGATTGATACAGGTGATCGGGGGCGCAGAGATCGAGCGACATGTGCACCAAGCCCTTCTCCTTCGTTCCAGCCACCCTTCTGTAGCAGATTGAAGCCTTTGTTGGATGGCCCTATTGCCAGCCAGACTGGAGGAACAAAACGTTCCTCCGATGGTAGCGGTGGCGGATCTCGTGCAAGAAGGTCTGCCAATGACGGTGCGGGAGAACTAGGTTTGCTCGATGGTTCAGACTGAAGCGCTCGTTTTATGAACCAATTGTTCTTGGTGGTAGCCTCCTTCTTTGGCTTACTAGTAGGAGCCTCACTGGGTGTACTTGACGATCTAGCTGTCAGCGGTTGGTTCCCCGACATCTTGGAGCTATCTTTTGTCAAAGCTTTGTACCACTCAGAGATCCCGCTATCTGGAGCAGAGGCATTCGAAGATACTGTGTGGGTAAGCGAAACAGCAGAACCCCACTCGTCGTACTGAATGCGCGCGGGAACAAAGGATGGAGGTGGGGCATGGCGAGCAGCAGAGAAAGTTGGCGCTGTGTTCCATTGTTCTGTTTCGTCTATTGGAATTTGGCCCGTCTCTTTCTCTAGCTGCTCTCTATCTGCGGGATCATAGTCCGAACGAATGTGATGAGCGACAGTAGCCATGCTAGTGCTGGTCGTAGTAAGCCCTTGGGGACCCGTGTCTTTGACTAAGCGACTCTGCACTTATTTGGAAACAATCACCCCTGTCGTCACCTAGTTAGAAACTGACAGTACTATTCAATATCCAAAATACGCTGATTGAGCCGTCATTACAGAATGTACGTGCGAGGTGACAACAAATATATGATACCAGTGCTATGTCCACCAAATGAGATTTGAGATGACCTATCAACCGATAGGCATGTTGGAACCATTATACGAGAATCCTATAGCAGGTAGGGTGAGTCGAATTTCAAGGACATCGTAATTGACATACCAGCGAACTGAGCTTGGACGGTGGATGAGAGATGGGAGCCATCGACATAACTATCGATAGGCGCCTCGGCCGTGAAGACAGTGTCGAAGTTGGAAACATCCTAAGCATCGACGGACTCAACAAACACGTACTCCCAGGGAGATATGCACTTACCACGGGACTTGACACACTTGGCTTGAACGGTGGTTGGATCTTTTTCTGCAGAAGCTTCTTGAAGTCAATGTGGTTTACAAAGAAAGGGTGCTTCTTAATCTCCTCAGCGCCGTTCACTCCAAGTCGTTTCGAGGGATCTCTGTTGAGAAGACTAGTCAAGATGCTTCGGGCTTCTGTACCAATGTCGGGGCCAAAGGTGAGCGGATCAGCAAGAATTTTCTGATACATCTTGTCCGTGACCTCTGAGGTGGATGGTTAATGGTAGAGATACAAATACAGTGATAGGACAAACCATCATAGAAGGGTGGAAGACCGGAGAGCATCTCGTACAGAAGTACACCAAGAGTCCACCAATCAATTGACTTGTCTAAAATAGATGATCAGGAGATCATACGACAGGCGACGAAGTGGAACTGACTATATCCTTGACCGTTCAGGATCTCCGGTGCAAGGTATTCCGGTGTGCCACAGAACGTGTTTGTCGTATCTGAATCCTTCATATTGAGCTTACATAACCCGAAGTCGCACAATGCAATGTGTCCAGTATAATCCAGAAGAATGTTTTCTGGTTTCAGATCGCTGAACTTCGATGAGTACAGTATAAAAAGAGGGAGACGGTCTGCCTACCGGTAGACGACATCGAGTTCATGTAAATGTTCCAGAGCTAATAGCAACTCAGCACTGTAGAATCGCGATCGTTCCTCGTTAAACCGCTGTTCGCGTTGCAAGTGGTGGAACAGTTCTCCTCCATTGACAAAGCTAAAGGGTGTACTCGTGAATAACATCGAGAGGCGAACGTTGAAATAACCTTACGCAAGTACCAAGTACAGCTTCTGCTCGGATTGGAAACTGAACTTCAGGGGTACGATGAAGGGGTTTTCGACACGCGCGAGCACGAGCCGCTCGGCCAATGTGTGCGTGATTTCTTTTCGGTCGACTATATGAGCTTTGCGGATAGTCTTGAGGGCATATATCCGCGTAGTGTCGCGCTTCCTGACCTGCATGACCTGCAAGGAACGTAGGTACGACTATTGTCAAGTTAATGTTGCAACCCACCTTGCCAAAACTGCCTTTTCCAATGACAGTGATGAGCTCGAATTCGTCGATAGTCAGAGATTGGCCCTGTCAACCTCGTTAGTCTCTCATAGCTCGAAACTCGAAATATAAAGTCACTGACAGAGCTAGGCTGGTATGCTACACCGATTTGAATCTTTCCTTTGCCACCTGTCATGTCGTGCCACTGGTCTTGACCCACAACGCCAATATTATCAAAGTCCGGCGTGAACTTGATTCCGCCCATGAAAATATCATTGCCCATATCATCCGCTAAACCATCACTGCCGACTTTGGGCTGTTCGGTTCTCAAGTAGCACTGTATTGAAATTTCTGAGTGGCGCGAGACATCACTGGCAGCGAATTCAGGACAAGTCGTACGTGATATAAAGTAGACACTCACAACTGGGCCTGGTACATATACAGTGGTTTCTCCAGATCACCACCCAATGGGGTAATGAGGACTTGATTGACTTCGAATTCCATTACCAGGTAGGGTAGCCACCAACATTGTGTACGCTGGATACTGTCTTTTGCGCCATGACGCTTCACGAGCCGCCTCTGCGTTACGCTCGAGGGAGATACAGACGCGGCGACTTTGGCCTGTTGCGTGGACAGCGCTGTTTGCACAGCAGAAGGGACCGTGGTGCCTACAGGAAGGGCCAGGTCTTCAGCCCATAGAACGCGTATGCTGAGAAGACCTGTCCGTGAAGTAGGTTTCCCCCCAGGATTACTTGGTGTCGGAGTAGTCGACCGGGGAGGCTCGTCGGAGCATCCAGCAGACAAGGTGGCTGTTGAAGCTTTTTTAGTCAATTTCCCGAATCCCTTCAACATAGCGCCTAGTCGATATTAATGACCAAAGAAAGAAAATATTGTGTAGTTAAGGCGACGCGGGAGGATTACACAGGGTTGATGTGGGGGCAGTTGACAAAACAAGTTGATGGTCTATGTTACACCGTCGCAGTCAAGCGCGTTACAGTTTATGGAAGTCGGCAATAGCACGTGGCAAATTGCTCACCGAGTCGGACAACTCTAGTAAGTACTAGTACTAGTACTGTGAAGCAACCGATGCGAGTCACAGCCCACATGTGCTTAGGCATACAGTCTTAAGCTTCAAAGTCGACAGGGGATTTTATTATTACCCGCGAGAGTGTCACAAACCCTTTATTATAGAACGAACTACGACTGTCTTTTTTTCTTTTATAGGACTGGAGCTAGCCGGCATCATGATCACAAGCCTCGAATCAGCCCGAGCGCCGAAAATACGACAACAACGGCTTGCAGAGCATCGATAAGCAAGCGTATCGCCATCGTGACTAGTACATACTTGCAAGTCTATGCTTACTATGACTCACACACCGAGTCACACAGACACAATCCATGAACTGATGGAGTCAAAGTCTTAGTACGACTCGGAGTGATGAGTGTATACGTACTTGCTGCGTACGACACCCGATTGGCTCCCAAAACTCTAGGACAATTCTAGGGCCGTCATTCGAATAGGGGACTATTAAGCACCCTTTGAGGGATGAGCACGAGCAAGACTTCGGCAGGTAAACTCAAAAGTCAATTGGGAACCCAGTTTATCTTCGGCGCCAAAGAAACGAAAGGGTCCCGTGGGTACTCCTCCGATGGTGATTACCATGCTTCTAGCCCGTCGGAAAACCCAACGCATGTCGACGGGTAATAAACCCCTTGTCCTTCCGACGGAAAGTCACTTCAGGAAGGACCACCGTTGGCGCAAGGCCTAAGATAGTGCAAAATGCCGAGCACTTTACACAAGCTTACATAGTACTAATTTACGTTGTCAATGACATAAAGGAGGCAGGGAAGTGTTTGATGCGGTGATCGCACCTCATAATGTGCTGCAACAGCAAGTCCTCCTGACCAACTCCTGACTTAGGCAGTTTGGAATGTGTTTTCATAACAGTCAGGAACAACCCGATTTCCGTACATTGGTGGCGGTGGACTCTCATGATCAGCCCCATACAAAGAGTATGAAGATCCACCATTCGAATAGTGGGCAACTATTATTATAAACCTCAGAAAAGGTAGCACGGGGATATCCATTGGAAATTAATATGGACGTTGGCTGGATCCCAGATGAGTCGAAGCTGATGTCTGAACAATGATGAAAATAAATGAGGCGGGCGACCTTCGCAATGTTTTCTAAAGCAGGAATTCTTGTGGGCTACTTCCGATTGTAAGAAGACCGATAGGTATCGGAAATTATATTCATCATGATTCATAAGTCCAATGCGGGCCGCGAGGTTTGCCCATGGGCTATGACAGCGTTATCGCAAGTTATACTCCGAGCAAAGTCGGACAATGCTTGGTAACCGGAAATATACCAAAAGCGGGTTACTCCCTTCTCCTCCTTCTGGGATGACTGTGAGCGGCCCCACTAGTGGCTAGGTGACTGAGTCGAATTTTCCATCTGCAGATCAACATGAGTCGATGCTGTGTGGACTTGAGAAACCGATTGTATTTCAAAGATGACCCCGGCCTTCATCCGCGGAGATGGACGGCGAATACATCCTTCGATCTGAAAAGCGTCCAGAAGTGGCCGGTCAATCTGTTGAAGCACGAAGATGAGAAGTTGGCATAAAGAGAGAAACCCCAGTACCTGAATAGACATCAATATCAAACGGAGAAATACCTTTGGCACCAGTAATCTGTATGATCTTGTAGCCCAAGATAAGTGGTGTCCACCGTGTCTGAGAGTGATCCTGACATAGGATCTAGCGCGAGGGAAGATACGTCGTCAGCCCTCGAGACCGTCAAGTTTACAGTGATCTCCAAGCCGTGGCCCCAACTCCGAGTTGCGTTGCAGCTGCCCAGTTACCGATGTCAATTGTGTGAGTAATTAATAGTAACTGACGTCACTGACTCGGATGCATGAAAACCTTGAGAAGCCTCCGAGTTGTAGTGCATCAAGTTACATGCATGACCATTGCCTGTCGACCATGAGACTCATCGGACGGTGACCACGCTTGGAACTTTGGCTTCAAGAGGGAGTACGAGACTAGGGTTCGGGGAATCAGGAATTAGAAATTAGGGATCTCGTTCTGGTCGACAAGCATATCAGCACGACCCTCAACTTGGGCAGGTACCTGAAATGTTTAAATTTATCCACCCCAAATTCCCTGAACCCTACTCAGCTGATATAGAAAGTCGAGTATGTGAAAAAAAGAATATTATATATTCTTTTAAAGAACATGATGAGCCTCCATGAGCAAATCTTTTAGCTGTGTCGGGCCAGTCAGTACTAGTCAGTATCGAAAAGGGACGAGCTGCGCAGTTCTTTGCAAACATGAATGACACAGAGATAGTACACGGTAAGCGCCTATCACATCGGGCTAATTTTTTTGGACATACTAGCTGTGAAAAAAAAACTGGCAAGGGCATAATGTAGGTCCGACGGGATTACGTAATGTTTTTTATAGCACAATGTATTGATTTTGAAATTTAATGTTTCGGGCCCGGGTCCAGGGTCATGAAATGACTGCATGAGGAGGGCTGAGTGTTGATAGGATGGCGCGAATATCCGGGATACGGTAGCCTCGAATACAGCATGCGCAGCATATCTGTGTGTGCGCACTGCGCAAGGTGTTACCCGGATCGCGGAAGGGAACAGTAATAAACCTCGTGGGTGTTACGTCGGCAGCCTCAGGTCCCCTATGGTTACAATTAGATGACTAACCGCATTGACGTGACCGGGCCACTACTGGTATATATCCAGAGATGCCGCGAGTCAGCGTAATGCCACACCACTCCGAACTGAGTATAGGCTAAGATCTGTTTAATTTAACAGGTCCATGCAAGTACGCCCCTCCCAAGTAGCCCATTAAGCCCGCTTCTTGTTGTCTCTTCAAGATCATGTCAGACAGCCACCTCTCCACGCCTGGCGAGAAGCGGCCTGCTTCTCAGGACACTCACACATCACAAATCAGGCCGAAGAGCAGCTTTCTCTCTGCGAACAAGGATGCATCCATCGTAGTCGAGAAAAAGGATCCAGATGATGATGATGATGTTGTTGTGGATGCCAAACTAACGCAATCCGTTCAACCTGTTTCATTTTTTTCGCTGTTCCAGTGCGTTCCTTTTTATATTCAACTTGTATCTCAACCTGATCTGTCAACAGGTTTTCTACTTCATTTGAGATTATAATTGACATTATCGGTGTAGTCTGTGCGGCTGCTGCTGGCGCAGCTCAGGTGAGTTTTGTCAATTCGAATCATGCCACCGTTTACGTATTGTCCATTAGCCTCTCATGAGTTTGCTATTTGGGAATTTAACCCAAGATTTTGTCAACTTCAGTTTGGCAGACAACAATTATACCGCATCGTTGCAAAGCGGCAATCCCACTGCCATTGCACAAGCTCAACAGATTCTGAACGCCGCTGCAGTTGGATTTCGCAAGAGTTCTGCACTAGATGCCTCCTATCTGACATACATTGGTAAATCCATGATTGTTTTTATGTCAAACCGCCCATTAACTGTGTTTACAGGTGTCGGCATGTTTGTGTGCACATATGTGTACATGACTGTTTGGACTTACACCGGCGAGGTTAATGCGAAAAGAATACGAGAACGGTATCTCCAAGCGGTGCTCCGTCAGGAAATTGCTTACTTCGATGATGTCGGAGCTGGAGAAGTCGCTACTCGCATTCAAACCGATACTCGTGAGTTATTATGAGCCCATAATTTTTTTCTGCCTTGTTGACGTAACAAATAGATTTGGTACAACAAGGCATATCCGAAAAAGTCCCTATCGTCGTGAGCTTCCTTGCCGCATTCGTTACTGGTTTCGCCCTCGCATATGCTCGATCATGGCGCCTTGCTTTGGCATTGACATCGATTTTTCCATGCATCGCCATAACCGGAGCTGTCATGAACAAATTCGTCTCCAAGTATATGCAGTAAGTGTTTCTTCTCTGGGGAATAAAGGTCCCTTGATGTAATTCAATACAGAATGTCTCTCAACCATATCGCCGAGGGAGGATCCCTTGCTGAAGAGGTCATTTCCACTGTCAGAACTGCGCAAGCTTTCGGAGCTCAGAAATTCTTGACGTCTTTGTATGACAAGCACATCGATGGTTCCCGCATTGCTAACTCCAAGGGTGCCATCTGGAATGGTGGAGGACTGGCCTGCTTCTTCTTTGTCATTTATTGCGCATATGCTCTCGCCTTTGACTTTGGTACTACCCTCATTAATGAGGGGCTCGGTAAGTTCTCACATTCTTGAAGTAATAGAAGAATATTTCTAATATTGTAAATATAGCCAATGCCGGTGCAGTCGTAAATGTCTTCTTGGCTATCTTGATTGGTTCTTTCTCTCTGGCCCTTCTTGCACCTGAGATGCAAGGCAAGCTTTACTTCTTTGTGTATCTTGCGCCGTCTCATGTTTCATTTCAGCAATCACCAATGGACGTGGAGCTGCAGCTAAGCTATATGCTACGATCAATCGTACTCCCTCAATAGACTCCGCTGATCCAGGAGGTCTGAGACCCGAAAAGGTCATCGGCGAGATCACTCTCGAGGACGTTAAATTCAGTTATCCATCCCGCCCCAACGTCCATATCATGAAAGGTCTCAGCATAAATTTCCCTGCTGGTAAGACTGCTGCACTCGTCGGGGCATCTGGTTCTGGAAAGTCGACCATCGTTTCACTTATCGAGCGTTTCTATGATCCTTCGAGTGGCTCCGTCAAACTTGACGGTGTTGATTTGCGGAAGCTGAACATAAAGTGGTTGCGATCTCAGATCGGTTTAGTTTCCCAAGAACCCACACTCTTTGCGACAACGATCAAAGGCAATGTCTTGCACGGACTCATCGGCACCCCATACGAGAACGCCTCTGAAGAAGAGAAATTCAAACTCATTCGAGAAGCGTGTATCAAGTCAAATGCTGATGGTTTCATCACCAAGCTGCCACAAGGATATGATACTTTGGTTGGCGAACGTGGGTTCTTGTTGTCAGGTGGGCAGAAGCAGCGTATAGCTATCGCTCGTGCCATCGTTTCCGATCCCCGCATTCTCCTTCTTGACGAGGCCACTAGTGCGCTTGATACGCAATCCGAGGGTATTGTTCAGGATGCATTGGACAAGGCTGCCGCTGGACGTACGACTATCACCGTCGCTCACCGACTCTCAACGATCAAAGATGCAGATAGGATCTTTGTCATGGGAGACGGCCTCGTTCTGGAGCAAGGTACCCATAATGAGCTATTGGCCGATGAGGACGGCGCATACGCGCGCCTCGTCCAAGCACAAAAGCTGCGCGAGTCGCGTGAAGATCAGAACATCGAGAGCACAACAGCAGCCAGTGCCGAAGAAGATATGGAGAAGGCCAGCCTGGAAGAGATTCCTCTCGATCGCAAATACACGAATCATTCAGTGACCAGCGATATCGTAAACAAAAGCAACGAAAAGAAAGGGAAGGCTGAGGTCGACGAAGACAAATATAGTTTGTTCTACTTGTTCAAACGTGTGGGAGCTCTTCACCGGGAAGGATTGCATCGCTATGCAATTGGTACTTTCTTTGCAATTTGTATGTTACTTCAAGAGTCCCTCGTTATTACTCTAACATGCCAGACGACTAGGTACTGGCGCTGTTTATCCTGTATTTGGTATCGTATATGGTAAGGAACCTTTGACCCTTGCGTATCTCTGGGTTGGGTATTGACATATCCCTTATAGGTCAAGCAATTGCTGGATTCTCTGCACCGACGAACGCTGAGAGACGTTATGATGGCGATCGTAATGCCCTATGGTGTGTGCTTATGCGCATGTACGGACTGCGTCCGCTAAATTTCAAAATAGGTTCTTCATCATCGCTATCTTGTCTGCAATATCTATTGGCTTGCAAAATTATTACTTTGCATCCTCTGCAGCAATTTTGACAGCTAAATTGCGGTCAATCTCCTTCAAGGCTATCCTTCGTCAAGACAGTGAGTGTCACATACTTTTTTCTTATATCAAACCTTATGCCTCGCAGTTGCATACTTCGACAAGGAGGAGAACAGCGTAAGTTGTTCCACTAGGATATGGGTATCCTACTTAATGACAGGATCTTGTAGACTGGTGCACTGACGTCGAATCTGAGCGACAATCCGCAGAAAGTGAACGGCCTCGCTGGCGTTACTCTTGGAGCGTAAGTTGACGCTTATCGTGGTGTAGTTTAATTCTCATGCCTAAGCAGAATCGTGCAAGCATGCGTCACAGTAATCGCTGGGTCGGTGATCGGATTGTCCTATGCATGGCAGCCAGCTTTGGTCGGAATGGGTGCGATGTCTCTTCAATATCATCGAACTTCTACTTACGTTCCGAATGCAGCATGTATTCCTGTGCTTATCTCTGCAGGCTATATTCGTCTGGTATGTGACATTATATTTGCTCCGGAACTCCCACGCATTAACTTATCTACAGCGAGTGGTCGTCTTGAAGGACCAGCAGAATAAGGCAGCACATGAGTCGTCGGCGCAGCTTGCATGCGAGGCTGCCGCAGCAATCCGCACAGTCGCATCGCTGACGCGCGAGGAAGACTTCCTACAGCTCTACAGCGCCAGCTTAGAAGGGCCCTTGCGCAGGTCGAATCGCACTGCATTATGGAGTGGCTTGTTTTTCTCCCTTTCTCAAGCCATGTCCTTCTTCGTCATCTCATTAATTTTCTGGTATGGTTCACTCCTCGTCTCGAATTTCAAAATTACCACCACGGGATTCTTCGTTGCACTCATGGTAAGTCAAGAAGAGACCTCATTTAGCCTTCCATTCATTTTAATCGTATCAGAGCACAACCTTCGGGGCAATTCAAGCTGGCAATGTCTTCGCCTTTGTACCGGATATCTCGTCCGCCAAGGGTGCTGGTGCAGCAATCATCAAGCTCATCGATTCAACCCCAGAGATTGATGCCGAGTCGCCTGAAGGGAAGAGTATATCTGGAGAATTCGTTAAGGGCCAAATTCGCTTTGAGAATGTTCACTTCCGTTACCCCACTCGTCCTGGCACCCGTGTCCTCCGCGGCTTAACGTTCAAGGTTGAGCCAGGTACATACATCGCTTTGGTTGGTGCCAGTGGATGCGGTAAAAGTACAGTGTAAGCGACTGATTTCTTCGACCTTTCAGTGCTCTCATGCTGTTCTGCAGTATCCAGTTGATTGAGCGATTCTATGATCCGTTGTCAGGCCGAGTTCTTCTTGATAACGAACCCGTCGACGAGTTCAATATTCAGGAATACAGAAAGCAGCTTGCCCTTGTGTCCCAGGAACCAGTAAGCAAATATAATATGATCCTGAGGGCAGTTCGTCTAATCTCCCATTCACTAATCAGACACTCTACGCCGGCACCATTCGCTTCAATATCCTGCTAGGTGCCATCAAGCCAGAGTCTGAGGTAACTCAGGAGGAAATTGAGGATGTTTGCCGCAATGCCAATGTTTTGGATTTCATCAAATCTCTTCCAAAGTACGTCTCCAATCGTCAGTTTCCACGAATACCTTACTGACATTACGATCAGTGGCTTTGACACTGAGGTCGGTGGGAAAGGGTCGCAACTTTCTGGTGGCCAAAAGCGTGCGTGACCGATGTATTTGTTTCTCTCCCAGGTACTTACTCCTCAATTAGAGCGCATTGCAATAGCCCGTGCCCTACTTCGCAACCCGAAGGTCCTTCTACTAGATGAAGCCACTTCAGCGTTAGATTCGAATTCTGAGAAGGTGGTGCAGGCGGCTCTTGATCAAGCCGCCAAGGGTCGCACGACGATAGCAATAGCTCATCGTCTTTCGACGATTCAGAATGCTGACTGCATGTGAGAAGTCATTGCTGATGTTTCGGAGACAATCGTACTAATACTTCCTTCGCAGATACTTCATTAAGGAAGGCCGTGTCAGTGAAGCTGGTACTCACGACGAGCTCCTTTCGCTGAAGGGCGACTACTACGAATATGTCCAATTGCAAGCATTAAGCAAGAAATAGATATCTGGCTCGTCATGGTGTTATACCTCGATGAACTCTAGAGCATAATTACCTTACTTACCATCATACTCCTCTCATCACTTGGTTTTCATTTCCGATGGCATACTGTAAATTAATCATAATGGATACACGCAGGTCAATGGAATTACAGCTGTTTTATGAGGATGCATATACGATTGCAGTCGTCACTTTATCGTGACCGAGGCGGTATTGCAAATATCAGAGAACCCGTTTGATCGAGTGATCACTCTTTCCACCAGGTGCAAGACCCGTAACAGCCCCTTGCGCCCGGTCGTGTTGCTAGTAGTCAGGCTCCTGCAAAGGTATCCATAAAAAAGTGTTAAGTTGAGACCGGGGTTCGGTTGGCAACGTTAAGGATTTTTGGTAGAGCTGCACGATCGCACGATGATTATTTATGGGAAACCAAGAAAGGTTGCGTGACACGATATCGAGCTCAAGCAGTCCAGGAACAAGTAACATCATGTTAGCAGCCACCCAGTCAAGCAACTGGCGAGAGTAACAGTATTACAGGAGGTGCACTCGCACCCCCTCAGTATGGCACAAAGTTGGCAATGGAAATAATGATAGTGGCATGGGTGAAAATCTGAATGCGATAATCGAGTCTATCACAACAGAATGAATCGATAAGGCGACCTATGCGAAGTACATCAAATTGTTCTTCTTCTTGCTTTGTACTGCACGACACAGTTAGAAAGTTATAGGAGATAGTCGTCGAAAGTAAGCTACTCACCCTCAGCGATCCCACTTAGGAAATGTTCGTGCCCAAGCTTGGTAGCACCCTCGCGCAGGGCGATCATACCAGCCTCCACACAAGTCGCCTTCAACTGAGCACCATTAAACTCGTCTGTGCTACGCGCTAACTCCTCAAAGTTCACGTCTGGGCTGACAGTCATCTTCCGTGAGTGAATTTCTAGGATACGGGCGCGAGCCGTCTCGTTTGGTAGTGGAAACTCAATTTTACGATCCAAACGACCTGAACGGAGAAGGGCGGGGTCAAGGATGTCAATCCGATTTGTCGCTGCGATGACCTATACAAGGTGAACTGAGTAAAGACAGCTCAAGTCGATAGTAAATAGTATCACCTTGATTCGCTGGTCGCTCGAGAAACCATCAAGCTGGTTCAACAATTCTAACATCGTTCGCTGCACTTCACGATCACCACTCTTTTCTGAGTCGAAACGCTTTGTTCCAATAGCGTCCAATTCATCAATGAAGATAATTGCAGGTGCTTTCTCTTTGGCAAGTTCAAACGCGTCGCGAACAAGCTTAGCACCATCACCGATGAACATCTGGACAAGTGAAGGACCGGCAAGCTTGAGATAGCAAGCCTTTGTTTGTGCTGCACATGCACGGGCAAGAAGAGTTTTCCCAGTGCCTATCGAAGATATAAGCGATGGTACGCGTGTAAATCAGATGCACACGTACCTGGTGGCCCGTACATCAAACAACCTTTCGGTGGTTTTATTCCCAAGGTCTTGAACTTGTCTGCCTGCTCCATCGGCAGAACGATGGCTTCGACCAGCTCTTCAATTTGCTTCTCCAAGCCACCAATATCAGTGTAGGTTTCTGTTGGACGTTCATCAACTTCCATTGCCTTGACGCGTGAATCATATTCAGTCGGAAGCTTGTCGAGGATCAGATAGGAGTCTTTGTTAACACCGACAAGGTCGGAAGGTCTCAACTGGTCGGCAGGTACGAGACCTATAAGAGGGAGGAAAACAGTTTGTCGAGTGGATGTCTTCACAACAGCACATTTGCCCTTGCGCATTGAGTCCAAGTCGCGGTTTGCCCCGTCCTCCTCTGATTCAGGATCAACGTCCAAGATCTATGGCGGATGAACGACGGGATATGACAATATAACCTGGTTGTGCGTACCTCTACTACATTTCCAACAAGATACGGCAAGACTTTATTTTGCTTAATTTTCTCCCCGTTATCACGTATCTTCTCCTTCATTACGTTTTGCTCATGTTGTAATCGTAGGGTGTCCGACTTCATGACCTGCATCATTTGGACAAAGCACTCTTGAGTTGAAGTCTGGTAAACGTATTGCAAGATGTAAACGACGCACCTTGATGTCATTATCAATTAGCCGTATTCTTGTCAAAATCTCCTCTGTTGTCAAAGCCTTTATCTCCTCTGGAATGTCATCCCAAGTCTCTTCTGCGGGTTGATCTGGCGTTATGTCCATTTCAACGCCATCCTGACCTGGAGAAGGTGAAGCTTCTGGTTGCTGTGGTGCATCTGGCTTCTGCACGTTGTCACCTGCAGGAGGGTCAGATGGAGGTTCAGAGGAGGGAACTGAGGACATGTGAATTGAGAAGCGGGTGGTAGAAATCAATGATACAGCGCTGAATTGAGGTACTCGTCGCCGACGCGTAACTCCTCCCAAAAAGGGAAATCGGAGCACACGCTGACACGGTAGCTCTGAGATTACAGGCCTGTGCTGTGGTCAGAAACTAGGTAAATATTTAGCAATGAATCAGTTTAGTTTATTCGACCAAGCCCATATATATTGATATCAATAAACAGTTGCTGAACGCTGAAATCGACAAAGAACAGTTTGACCAAGTTTAACCCTCCCATCGAATGACATTATTCTGGTACGCATTCAGCAAGTCAGTCAAGTTATACACACACTCTGCAGTTGTAGAATATTTACCCTATCAATGCGAGGGAGGTCAGTCGATACAATAAATCATACACCTGTGCGTTGAGCGCATCATCATTACCATGAGTCAGTGTCTAATATTTGTCCTTGTTAGATTCTAAAGCCTTTGTAATTGCCAAATGAGGATTCTGTAACACTCTGAGCCACAACCTACTCGAGGGTTATTAGCTGTGTGGATGGCACTTGATCTCTGAGTCTATTGGATTCTTGCTATGGCAAGCAAAGACCCTCCCACAGCGGAGGAGAGGGCACGATATGAAAAGGTGAAAGATGAACTTGTGAAGATGATTCAGAAGAAAAGGGCCGCGGACAGACAACTTGTACGTCGACCCTCTTCGTTAACTTGAATTGTTCAAACTGCTCTATGCAATATACAGGCACAAACTGAAGTCCTAATACATACGCTAGAAACATCTTATCTCGCTGAAACCTCCACTACGGGTAATATCATCCATGGATTCGACGGATATCTCAAGCCCACTCAGGGTGCTGCGGCACGTAGAAAACACGATATTGGGGATGGTGATCGGTGGTTCTCAACAAGTAGTGGAACATGGCAGAAGGTATGTCCAAGAAATTCAAGGTATGGATAAATAGCTCATTGGAGTATTCCCCTTTTCTTCCTCAGTCCTTGGATCTTCTCGGAGAAGGTGAAGATTCGACACCTGCACCTGACGATATGAGGCTTCAAACAACACCAGGGCTGACTACTGTTGTCGTACCTCCGGCTCCACGCACGCAAGAGTTAACTGCTGCACAGCAGAAAAAGCACCGTGACAGAGAATATCAACGACGCAAACGCGCTATGCGACGAAGCGCGGGTACTGTCAGCGACGAAGACTCGCAGAGCATCGGTACAGGAAGGCGTCCAATGAAACGTGCGAGGATAGCAGATGATGATTGAGTTGAGAGAAACTGTGGTATATGTATGTATCATCGTTGTCTTTTTAGTTCTTTAAGTGTCGTTACCTGTGCGCGCAACAGGTATCTCTCAAAACTGAGAAAATGTACAGTGATTATATATCCAATTTGCTAAGGAACTTCTTCACATTAGTTTCATCCATCCCGCCGCCGTCTGGATCGACTGCCTCAATACACCGCACGATGGTAATCGTATGTTTTGTCTCCTTCGTACTAACCCATACTTTTCCATTCATTCCCACTGCCGCTTCCAGAGGAAAACGCGATCCAAGCAGTGGCAGGAGAAAATGCTTAGGGTCAAGTAATCTGGATGAAAGATATAATGAACAAGGAGACACAACAGCAAGAATCTAGCATACAGTCGGCTCATTTGCAAACTGCACTGAAGCACAAAGCCATCTTTTAGCTCACCAAACCCATCAGCCTTGTGAGTTTGGGCGTCGAAACATTCGAGTTCAGGCTCCATATCTTTATGGGCCAATGAAACGCGAGCATAAAGGAGTGAACCGACCTGATTGATTCATCAAGAAGCTGTACATTGGCACTGGAAAGGAACGTTAAAGTACCTTTAGACTCGGCTTGTTTCTTTTGGTTGCCCCTTCAAACGCCAAGCCATCCAGTGAGGCAGGATGCGCAGATCCAATGTCGACGCGCCAGCCCTCACCACTTCGTCCAGTGATCACACCGATCACACTTTCCTGGGGCGCCGGAACATACTGGAAATGATTATTAGATGGCTAGCTTGCACACCAAGGAGTAGAGTGCCGTACTCTTCTTGAATTGCCCTCTACCCACCATTTGCTCTTGTTGGCTGAGTGGTTAAGGACGCCTGAGCGAGTAGCAATAACAGGAGCTGATTTTGCTTGTTGCTGTGTCTCGCTCGATAGTTGAAGAAGGCCAGGACCAAGCTTGAGGTTGACGTGCTGGGCTGGGACTTGCTCACCAGGGAGGACGATGGACATCATGGAAACTGTAAAAGGAAAAAAAAGGCACACTGCCTCCTGAACGTCGAACGTCGAACTCTCACCAGCACTGATCCTTGACTTCCTTTAGATGTCAACTTGAACTTGAACTACTATTCCGCGTCATTTATGGCTGCGACACCTTTGATGAATGAATTTCCCGAGCTAGCCTATCTCACGTGTGTATCTTACACGAGCCCGCATTTCTAGCTCATTCAGATCTTGTGCAGACGTGAAGATCTTGAAGACATCCTCAATGATCCCGCTTACTTCCAGAGCATATTCCATTCCTTGCGTCAGGTCAAGGAATTATATCAAGCTCAGACAGAGCTAGGTATGGCAAATGAAGCCATCGCTCGTAAGTAACTTGATTATTCGTTGGGTATGCAGCATGCCGAACTCATATCGCTTTAGAAACAAACCTATCACTGCAGGACCGTCTGTATGAGTTGCGAACTGAAACCAAAGAAGCCTTCGATAACGCCAAGTCTATGGAGTCTCGCTGGAAGGATCTCGAGCGCGAACAACGAGAAGTTTATCAAGTACGTCGCTGAATGTGGCATACGAGCTAGCATCTGATGTTCTTTCAGCGGTTCGACCCTCAATTTCTTTTACTTCGTCTTCGTCATGCGACCACCGCGCAAGATGATGCCTCTGAGGCTCTTGCGTCATCATTCGTGCAATCATCTCCTTCACCCTCCTTGGTTAACGATGCCTCAGATGTGGATGAGTTCATTAGAGAGTTTAGAGAGCTTAGGAAAATCTATCACAAACGATTAATGTGGGGTGATAGGTGGGCTTCTGGACAGGTGTCTTGGGAGGATGGTTAACTGGTTATTGTGAGCTTTTCTACGCCTTCTCTGACTCAAGTGGTCTCACGAATTGTCCAGTATTTTAGTTATTTATGCACACAGAGTATGCATTATAGTGATACCACTGTGATTGCAATTGCTACTTGTGGGAATCTGCCTGTCGATGGCGACCGTGCCATGTGGCAACAATCCAGTGTATTGATTAGAATTCTAAGGTTTGAATAACACTTCTTGTGCTCTTGAGCGGCTATCCTCATTTGGCTACGAACCATACCATGCGGGAGTATCCCCTTCCTGAGAGTGATCGAGAGGTTTGTAAGGCGGCAGAACCATACGGCTTTACCACTGACACATTGTGATTGTCAGATACCAAATCTCCATGAGCCCTAAGCGCACCTTCGTACTAGTGATGTGCACGGCCCGGTCTCAAGCTGTGGGCCAGCCAAAGCTGGGTCTGACCAAAGCTTTCAAAGGCCCGGCCTGCCATGGTTCTGAAAAGCCAGCTCAGCCTGATTAGGCGCGGCTTGGGCCGGCCCACGGCTAGCAGCCGGGCCGTGCACTGATCACTATTAAGAGCTCTGTGGTTGACTTACTTAGTAGCTAGAAATATGAATTTTGTGAAAGTGTCGACTTCCGTGGGCTGCCAGTGCTGTACCAGAAGGGATAGATAGTACCAAATATTGAACAGTACTACGTGTAGCCAAACATAATGCCCAGTTGTGTCTTTGCAACAAACATTTTCAATGATCCAACGAGTGCACTCTGAAGTGACTCTTTTACCAAAACTTGCTTATTAGTCCAAACTATTCCCACTGCAGTCGTCCTGAAGCGAGACGCGTCACCCAGCTTCTTCATGACATCGAACTTCGCCGTTCACTACACTGAGCGTCTGATTCCGTTGACCAGGCTGCAACTATCTACGCAGTCCAAGCCTACAAGCGATGGCGGTACACTAAAGTCGACGCATGCAATGCTACAAAGCTCACCCTCTGAAGCTACTGTGCAGGAATCTGTAGACTTTCTCTGCACTTTCTCTGTTCGGGAGGACAAACCAGGGCTGCAATCCGACAGTGAGGAGCTTGTCTTTTACAATGCCGTCTTCAGGAAAACCATTTTCAACCTGTATGCGCTTGCCGTGGATCTCTACCTGGAGGAATCAAGTGCGGCTCAGCTTGACGCAGAGTGGTGGGCCGATATCGAACAATCTACGTGGTCTGTAGCGTCGTATCTCTTACAGTGTGCGTCTATTTTTATTGTGCGCTGTGAACTGCACATGTCCCTTATGTCTTTCGCTTCTTTGGGCTTGGAAATGTAGCGTTCCCGAGCCGTCTTCGTAGAGTTTTGCAGTTGATTCAGGTACAGAAGATGTCTGTTCGACTGTCGGCGTTCTGCCCATCGTCTGTTGCAAGATTTTACTGGGATGCTGCGCCTATTCGGCTCAACCCCTTCACTGTTGCACTCTTTCCCTATCTGCGCAACCAGTCCTCTGCTGTGGTATCATTCTCTCCTGTTACCGCAGGGAAAAGCACGCGACCAGACTCCCTCGTTGCCCTGGCTGAGAAAATACGTGTTGGGGTCATGTACAGTATACAAAGAGTAATTTCCTTCCTGCTCTTTCCTCTCCGTCTTGCTCGAGAAGAGTGTCAGCTCAGAAGAAAGGAATTGGAGAAGGTGAGGAACGAAAGGGCTGAGGTCCTTGGAAAGCTTTTGGAGTTGCGACCCTTGCTTGCAAATGGTCTGGCAGCCGACTTCAACGGTTCAATCACTAGTTCGTCAATTGACAATCAAGCCCTTACGGCGTTTCTGTTCGAGTTCGCTGTCGTCACGTCAGGCGACGTATCACAGAAAGCTGCTCTCCCTGTGATCGAACAACTCCTCGGTGCATTCAAAAACCATGGAATCATACATAACGCCTACCTGGACGCCCACGATCTGCGACGACCATCCCGACTTACCCTGTTATGGCCTCGCTTATTCCTGCTTCCCCCACTGATGCTCTATTGTGCCAAGCATATTTATGCTTCTAGAGCAACTTTAGCCGACCTTATGCTAGATGTGGTGAACACCGTACAAAACTTTTTCAAGGGTTGGCTGTTTGACCCTATAAAAGATGTCCTTATGACTATCCGTGCTGGTGGAGAAGATGGTGTCATTGTTAGGCGAGAAGCAGTTGCTGCTGACCTCGATGTGAGCAATTTTGCCACTTACAAGTCGTTTTCTGATTGTCGGTGAAGTCACTCGAGCGAATGACCCTTGCTCTCGCTAAGGAAAAACTTAGTTATGATTCTACGCAACTTGAAGCACTTTCACAACAGATACGTCAGGGTGACCTCACTGCCGTGCTGAAGATCTATGAAGAGGACATTAAAAATCCGGTGAAATCTGCAATAACGGGGACACTTTTGAGGTCAATGTTTATTCAGGTCCAGAAGGCCAAAGTAAGCACAGCGCGCCTCTATCAGGCTACTACTCATTCAAATGTTCCTAGGTGGATCTCGATCAAGCACTGGCTGGCATCGATAAACTGTTGAAATCTCAAGAACTTACTTTTGCATTCGTTGGTGTCGCGCCAGCCCTTGCTGTCATATATGTCGCAGGAGGATTCCTAGGAGGACTACTGTCTATCAGACCTGGCAGGTATGGAGGGAAACTTAGAAAGACCAGTGTTTGGCTTGCAATGAGGTTGACCATACTAGTTGTCTTGGAAAATATGCGCTTACTACTCTACATTTCTAGGCGTATTGAGCGGCTTCTGTTGTTCCAACCTAAATTGTCGTATCACCATCACGATACCGAGAACTTGCACTCGGACACCATTCCGGCTTTGACGACAGGACTATTGGTTTTATCTCTGGCGCACCTCCGAGAGTATGCTTTGACGTCGCTACCAGCACGGTCGCGACTTCGAGAGGGATTTTTGGAGGATATCGAAGACCTTGAAGATCCTGGATTGCGTCGGTCGGAAAAACTCAGGATTATCGATAGAATGTGGAAGAGTTGGGGCAAGGAGCTTGGTTGGTACAATTTAGCGGGCGGTAGATCAACCAGGTAGAGATTGGTTTCCTCTGAGGCGCATTAAAGGAGGAAACGATAGATAACTGGGGAGTCGTTGTGATTGTGGCATACGTTTTCAAGACCGACCAATAACTATTACAGCTTGTGGTAGCAAAAGGCAATATCGACTACGTGGACCTGACTATGAATTCTAGGATATCCGTACCCGTACCATTGAGGGAATATCGAATAGATGGTATAATAAATTGGCGAGCAGGGCTTAATGAAGGAGGAAGCATGAGCCCACCACCAAGACCTCTCATATGCCAAGAGTTCGCTGCAAAAAAGCACATCAAGATCAGCATCCACATAAAATGCTCAAGCACGTACATAAGGGCTGCCCAAGTATAATGATGCAAAAGTAAACCCACAACCTGCCATACAATCCACTGACGCGGTATCCTGTGTACTTGTACCAGACCTTTTCACAAAGCAGTAGAGGAGCCTGCAGTGCAAAAAATAGCGGAACGATGGTATCAAAACCTCTCCCGAGTGCATATGCGGAGAGTTCGTGGTATAATCCAGACCCGATGAATGTCCCAAACAACAAGCCGAACTTTCCTGCGATGGACTTGCCAAAAAATCCTCCAAAGACAAAGAAAATTTCTCGAAGGATTTGGTGCCAACGTTTGGACCAAAAGATATGAAGCGAGTCAGATTGCCAAGGATGGTCTAGCACGGGAGGCCATGCTGAAGGGGAGCTTCCTAAAAGCAAAACTGCAAAGATCGTGATGAAATCGTAAAAGAGTTGGAAGGCAGCCAAGATGCAAGAGCCAGTTGCAACGTGGATGGCTGTAGAAAGAGTGTATCTATAGAAGAATGGTAGTTCCGCCTTGAATATGGTGCCACCGTGAGGAGTGCCAACGTCAGGTACTAGCTTGATTAGCGACTCGAGGAGGTCGAAGATCATGTAGTTTCCGACAAATGATATAAACGTCGCAAACAAGAATGAATTCCGTTTGAGAGATCTCTCCTCACGAGGCACGTGGATCCCCATACCAAATTTCCAACCAAAACCCCTGTTGGATAAAATTACTTCCAAGGCATCATATAGCCAAGTAAGTGATGAGGTAGCTGGATCTGATGTGGCTGGTTTTGTATGCGCATCACCATTTGCTTTGACAGCATGGGTTTTTTTCGTGACACCTGGCTGAACCTCGTCGATCTTGAGCATACCCTCTTTTCTCCATGCAAAATCTATTGCCTTGGCGCTAATGGCTTCTGCGAGTAGGCCTGTGGCGGTTTGAGTGGCTCTACAAGTACGAGGGAAGTGCTGTCACTTTACCTTGGCCCCAGTTGTAGATATTGTGATGTGGCTCTGTCCACATGAAACGAAAGTAGGTCCCGACGGCAACTGCGACTACCAACGGAAGGAGTAGAAGACGCAAGGTAAACGTGTCTGGCCGTCTCGCCAGGTATCCCATGTAAATTAGTGGCAGAAAGGGGAATAAAAGGTATAGGATATTAATTCCAGTAACCGGTGTACGCTCATGAGGTTCGGGCACGAGCCCTCGGAAGACATCATGGAGAATACAGTGACTTTTTGGGGAGTTATCAGTGAGCACGCGAATTCAGAATATGCTGGGTGAAAAAACATACCATTTATGATATATTCTCAACCACATCTATCAGGAATCTGGCCAGCGAATCGACCAATCCACCAGCGAGTTTGTGAATTAGTTTCAATGAAGACGCGAGGATGACGTCTCATATAAGCGTCTCCCATCTAATTAATGGCTTAGTCAGCCAATACCTTTGAGGCATGGACGAGGTCGTTGACCAAGGTCTTGCGTGTTTGCATTCGTCCGATATCCTTAATTCGCTACCTGCTTCATCTGTCATCGTCGCACGCCATTGTTGAACGCAGCGCGACGGGTCACCGCACTTCGCGTGTCTGGTTCCAAGTCTCTCACGCAAAACCATCCATCGCGTCTGCAGTGCCATCAAAGATGTCCAAACTTGACTTACCCGCATTCTCTGGTACGACAGAGCCCAGCTTGACTGTTGCGAAGACAAATATCTCACGTGGGCTGCCTTGAACCTGGTATATGCGATGTCTCCCTAACTACCTATTGTGTTTGCGGGCCTCCAGCTGGAAGACCGAGCGCGAGACTTTGGTAGAACCAGAATCGTGATGAACTTACCACGTGGGAGGAGTTTCCCTCGTGTCTCAAGGATCGTTTCATGTTCTCCAGCTGGCGTCTCGATACCCTCGTCCGCTTCTAAAGACTTCGATGGCTTCTGCTCGCCCGTCGCCTCCTTAGAAGAAGTTCGGAACACGCTTTATTCGGCGAATGATGGTTATGCTATCGGTGACTGTTTGCCAACACCACCTCCTCTTTGCCGATCCCGTGCTTCAACTTCGTGTCCAGGCCATACCAAACTTTGCGTACGAGAACTTGAAAGTCAACGCACTGATCAACACCATGGCAACTACGTAGTGGAGCCTCGTTGCGTAAGGCTTCACGATGTCCGTACTCAAGTCAATGCTCAAATCTACTTCGATTGCTCCTATGTCTAACACGCACACATTAAATTTTCCATCTCCTCTACCTATGCCGAATGAGAAGCCTTGAGCTCTGTAGGAGGTTGTTTCCGCTGTCATCTGTCGCCATCTGACCCACCTGGAAGTCCCATGTTGCTCCTGAGTGTTCGGGTGACGAGCGATGCAATATCCCTCTGCGAGCTCTTCATCCCATCGCAGAAGACACCCTACATGAGGGTTATTGTGAGGTCCTGATCTCTTATAACAAACCCGGAGTCACGGATTTCTCCGACCAAAAGGTCGGTACCATCACCGTTATCCTACCTCCAGGTGTGGTTATGCCATCATGTGTCCTCGAGGGCGACCCCGACAGCGATGAGGATGATGACTGTTGATGCTTTCCTGAACTGTTCGCCGGGTTATATTCTTATTCTTTTTGGCCCCTTCTGTACCATGGATTCTTCCGTCTTTCGTACGTCTCTGATGTTTACCTTCCCCTTCCTTGCACATTGTTGGGACTGCCTCGGACATCGGTGTTCCGTTTGAAATGTTTTTTTCTCAATACTTAACATGGGGCATCGGGAATAACTTGGGAGGGTGTGCATAGAGCCCATTGTAGACATGCTTTCCTCAGCTTGTATATTACATTGTCCCACAATTCAGACCGTGGTTCTGTTTAGTTCCACATCTCCATTTCTCGTCGTTGGCTGGCGGCGTGTTTGAAGAGAATACTTACATTATTATTATAATAACAGGCGGTGACCTTCGGGCGTTGTGTTTTGTTGGCACACCCATGTCATTCCACTACAAAAGCAGACATTATATTTGCATTTCTTTCTCCTTATTTTCTCTTGAGAATAAACACGCACGGGATAACGCAGTATATAGTTGACCATGAGCAAGGCTTAAACCAATGTATGATGTGTTCTCTCAACAACAGATGGTGCAGATGGTAGCCATGTACGGCTGATAGTGTCGTGAAGGTGGAAACAAAATGGAACAGCTAAAAAGGAGGGCACGCAGATGGATTGCAAATACCCAGCACAACAGGCTGGACACAATTGACACGTCGAGCCAGCGGCTATTTGTCAGAAATCGTCACGGCATTTGCGCCTCAACTCCCCGATAGCACTTTGAATTGAATTGATTTGCGAGCATATCGGCTCAGCCGACAGGAAGCCAAATTGCCAATAGCTGAGAAGCCTCCCTCGCGAGTAGTGCGCGCGACTCGCCAGTTCTCAATCATATTCGTGTCACGTACTGACAATATAATCAATGCGTACATACTATAGATTCAGACAGAGACCAACATGTGCTGACAAAGGTTTGTTCATTTGTAATATCTATACCTGCACACCATTACTCAGTAGGAAACACGTTGAGTATGTCAAGACAAATATGGGGCGCAGCTGACACCGTGCCCTATGTTTATCTCACTCTTGCTAGAAGTTTAATAAGCATTTAAACTTGCTTACTATTTTCAGTGGCGAAGCCACAGATATCTGCTAGTTATCAAATAACGAAGACGGGACATATCCTGCAAAGCCGTAAGGTCGGAGCCTACAACACCCAATGCGCAGAATTGAAGTGCCAGCCACAGGTAAAAAGCTCCGAGCTACATCCTCGATTGTTTCACGGTAGTACCAAGATAATTTTGTAGATGTGAAGGTGTTGGCTACGAGCAGAGGATTTCATGAAGGTTCCATGAAAAGGAGCCATCAGCAAGAGCAAGCATGAATGCTTGGCCATGGTGGGTGCAGGGCATTCAGATAGGACTGATGGCGAAGGATCTTGCGAAGAGAAGTTTTCAGTTCGGATGCTGTGCCAGGTGGGTTCTTTGGACAGAGCCAGGACAAAGAGCACGGGCCGAAATGTGCGTACAAGAAGACAGGTGTCACGAACGATTATTTTCATTCGCCCAAGGTCTGCCTAGGGAAGACTAAGAGCAGGTTGAGAAACAGCCCATAAATAGTTCAGAAGATTGACAAATAGGAGAAAAGGCATGCGACCCGATGTTGTTATCTGTGAAGAAGGCCAGCGGGGATTTACCGGCGCCATAATGAAAAATTCGTTCGTGTAGTAGGTGCGAGCTTGATCAGCGGTAAGTTTGATGTTGCTGCGAGTTGATTGCTTGAAGGTAGTCTTGAACCAACGCTTTGGTAAGACGCCCCAGAATTGCACTCTGGTTTGTCTAGTTCAAAACTGGACTGGCTTGAGGTAGCACCTCCGTACCAAATGATGGTTGAATGTTGTTTCTAATGTACCTCACGGATCGTCCCAAGATTCCATTGGACTTTCGGAGCTGGGACAATCATCAAGTATGCTCGCTTAGCTAATTAAAGTTCACCTCCGTTTCACGATGTCAGTCGAGGGCGAACGGCGAACTCGTTTTTGGACCCAGATCTTGTAGGCCGCCACTATGAACACTTCCAGGAAGGGCGGAAAGGTATTACGGCCATTAGACCCTGGATATAGCCATGGCTCATTGCGAGGCAACGTTTCACCATAGCCTA